TGCACCGCACTCCAGCCTTGGTGACAAGTGCAAAACTCAGTCTCTGAAAAAAAAAAAGAAAGAAAAGAAATTTTATTCTAGTGATGTTTAGTGCATAAAATTAGGACTCATCTTTAATCTCTGGACCCCTTGACAAGGGTTTTGGATGAATCTGTATTGTTATTTTAATCCAGCTTTATATTAGTTTACAAAGTATTTCCACCCATGTAAGCACCTCTTAGTCTCATAATCATCCATAAGAAAGAAGAATTACATCTATTTTTTCAGAGTTTGCAGAAAATAGATTCAGAGAGGGTAAGAGGTCTTCTGTTTCTTCATTCTAGGCAACAGTCTTTTATTACATGTAGCAACTAGAAGAAATACGAAAAGCAACTTCTTGTGTTTTCACTTGCTTAGCAGCAGAATAGTCTATGAAGATCAGTGGAGGAATATGTTGATACTCTCTGTTTATTAAGCCACAGCATATATGCCCAAGTGGCCCATCACCGCTTCACCTTCTCTCACCTTGGGAGAATGGCAGGAAATAGGTCATTCTCACAACGAAAGAATGCTTCTGTCATTGTCCTACATATCTTTTAAAAATTACAACTGCATATATCCTTGATTCAGCAATTCCACTTCTAGAAATTGATGGTTACAGATATACTTTCCCACACATGAATGATTGTATGTCTTAAGTTTTTCACAGAAAAATAACAGAAACAGCTGAAGTGCATCTGCAGCAGTGACATAAATTATGGTGCATGCATACAGTAGAGTGTTATGCCGCCATTGCAAAGCATAAAGCAGCTCTGTATTTACTGTGGGGACAAACTCCAAGGACACTGTTTGTTATTGTGTATAATATGTTTGTGTAAAAAGGGAGGGGACAAGTGTGTATTAATACATATTTGTTTATTATGTATCAGTGATTAAAAATCTCATAATGCTTGTCTGTGGGCAGCAGAACAGGGTGGCTAGAGAACAGGTCACAGAGAGAGAGAGAGAGACCTGTCACTGAAGGGCCTTTTGATAAAAAACAAAACAGCTGGGCCTGGTGGCTCATGCCTGTAATCCCAGCACTTTGGGAGACTGAGGTGGGCAAATCACCTGAGGTCAGGAGTTCAAGACATGGTGAAACCCTGTCTCTACAAAAATTAGCTGGGCATGGTGGTAGGTGCCTGTAGTCCCAGCTATTCAGGAGGCTGAGGCAGGAGAATCACTTGAACCCAGGAGGTGGAGGTTCCAATGAGCTGAGAATTGTACCACTGCACTCCAGCCTGGGGGACAGAGGGTGACTCTGTTAAAAATAATAACAATAATAATGAATTACATGTTTTAAAAAATCCCTGCACTTAGACGTGGTGGTATGTATCTATAATCTATAGACCCAGCTACTTGGGAGGCCAAGGTGGCAGGATATTGCTTTAGCCTAGGAGGTCAAGGCTGCAGTGAGCTATCATCACCCCATTGCACTTCAGTCTAGGTGACAAAGTGAGACTGTCTTTTAAAAAGAAAAAAAAAAAATCCCTGCACTGAGGTTTTTTGGAGTTTTGGGTCCTCATATATACCGGTAAAGTACTCTGACCTGGTTACTACCTACTCTCACCCAAAGGACCCATTTAATCCTTTCTTCTGCTCCCTGAGTTTCCCAGCACCAAATAAAATTCTCTCTTTTTTTGTTTTTACTTTATAAAATTGTAACACCCCCGTTCTTTTTATTTTTTTGAGATGGAGTCTTGCTCTGTCACTCAAGCTGGCGTGCAATGAAATGATCTCAGCTCACTGCAGCCTCCGTCTCCAAGGTTCAAACAATTCTCCTGCCTCAGCCTCCCGAGTAGCTGGAATTACAGGCACGGGCCACCATGCCTGGCTAAATTTTTGTATTTTTTTTTAGTAGAGATGGGGTTTCACCATGTTGGCCAGGCTGGTCTCGAACTCCTGACTTCAGGTGATCCACTGACCTGGGCCTCCCAAAGTGCTGGGAGTACAGGTGTGAGCCACCACACCTGGCCCAATTTTCTTATTTGCATTCTAATTCTATTAAATTTATTGATTGATTTTGTATTTTTAGTAGACCGTGGTGGCAGGTGCCTGTAATCCCGGCTACTTGGGAGACTGAGGCAGGAAATTTGCTTGAATTTGGGAGGTGGAGGTTGCAGTGAGCTGAGATCACTTCATTGCACTCCAGCCTGGGCAATAAGAGCAAGATTCCATCTTAAAAAAAAAAAGTATTGATTGAATGAGTGCTTTTTATGTAATGTATTATACCACATCCTTATTTATTTGCACACATTTTGCACAAGCCAGTTTTTATTGATGATTGTGGGATTGAAAAGTATCATCAGCACAAGCTAGGAAATTCAAACACTACAAATGAGTAAGCTCTGAAAAGTTTTTCCTCTGTCTCTAGGCTTCTGAGTCTCCTAGGCCCACAGTTCCCCTGCTAAGGTCGCTACTGTTACTACCTTTAGAAGTGTATTTCTAACAATATTGTATTCATATCAAGCATCTAGCATGCATAGATCCCCCCTTTTTTTTTTCCTCTGAAATCTGGGTAGATAGCCCCCCTTTTTGTATGTAACGTTTGGTTTTTAAATAGAGTTTCTTTTTAGAGCAGTTTTAGGTTCACAGCAAAATTAAGCAGAAGGTAGACAGATTTCCCATATACCTCTGCCTCCACACGTGCAGAGCCTCCCGCATTATGTACATCTCCTACCAGAGTTGTGCGTTTGTTACAAGTAACACACCTACATTGACACATTATCACCCAAGTGCCTAATTTGCATTAAGGCTTATTCTTGGTGTTATAGCTTCCATTTTTCATACCATGTAAACTATACTGTACACACTATCTCCTACTTTTTTTCACTTAACAACATTATCTCAGTATAGGCTTACATTTAGATTTAGATTACCATGTTCTTTTTTTTAAATTTAATATATATATATATGATCTTTTTTTATTTTTTAAGAGATGGGGGGGCCAGGCACGGTGGCTCAAGCCTGTAATCCCAGCACTTTGGGAGGCTGAGGTGGGTGGATCACGAGGTCAAGAGATCAAGACCATCCTGGCCAACATGGTGAAACCCCGTCTCTACTAAAAGTACAAAAAAATTAGCTGGGCATAGTGGCGTGCGCCTGTAGTCCCAGCTACCCCAGAGGCTGAGGCAGGAGAATTGCTTGAACCCGGGAGGCAGAGGTTGCAGTGAGCCGAGATCAGGCCACTGCACTCCAGCCTGGTGCCTGGCCACAGAGCGAGACTCTGGCTCAAAAAAAAAAAAAAAAAAAAAAAAAGACGGGGTTTCACTATGTTGCCCAGGCTGGAGTGCAGTGGCTATTCACAGGTACAATCCCACTACTGATCAGCTCGGGAGTTCTGACTTCTCCGTTTCTGACCTGAGCCGGTTCCCCTCTCCTTAGGCACCACATTCTTTTTAATAACTGCATAGGATTCCACATATATTAAATATATTTAATTTAATCAGTCTTCTCTTGATGGGAATCAGGGTTGCCCACAATCTGTTGCTACCACAACAGATATCCTTGTATATATGTCATTGTTTAAGATATGTATCTTCAGGATAAATTCTTAGAAATACAATTGCTAGGTCAAAAGTTATATACATTCTAAATATTGATAGATCGTTCCAAATTGCTCTACCTAGAGGTTGGGGTCGTTCAACAGGTTATAGTAGCTCAACAGAATGTAAGACTTGATTTCATTCTGTTGTGTAGGATGGAGTGCAGTGACACAATCATAGCTCACTGCAGCCTTGAACCCCTGGGCTCAAGCAATCCTTCTGCCTCAGCTTCCTGATTAGCTAGGAGTACAGGCACACATTACCACCCCTGGCTAATTTTTATATTTTTATTTTACTTTATTTATTTTGAAACAGAGTCTTGCTCTATTGTCCATGCTGGGGTGCAGTGGTGCAGTCTTGGCTCTCTGCAACTTCTGCCTCCCAGGCTCAAGCAATTCTCATGAGTGCCTCAGCCTCCCGGATACCTGGGATTACAGGCACCTGCCCCCACACCCAGCTAATTTTTGTATTTTTTGTAGAGACAGGGTTTAACCACATTGGCCAGGCTGGTCTCAAACTCCTGGCCACAAGTGATCCATCCACCTTGTCCTCCCAAAGTGTTGGAATTACAGGTGTGAGCAACTGAGGCTGGTCTTTATTTTTATTTTATTTATTTTTGAGATAGCATCTCAGTCTGTCATCCAGGCTGAAGTGCAGTGGTGTGACCATAGCTGACTATACCCTCAACCTCCTGGGCTGAAGCAGTCCTTCCATCTCAGCTTTTCAGGTAGCTAAGGCATGTGAACCACTGTGCCCGGCTAATTGACTTTTTTTTTTTAAAAAAAAATATGGAATGCTTCACGAATTTGCGTGTCATCCTTGCGCAGGGGCCATGCTAATCTTCTCTGTATCGTTCCAATTTTAGTATATATGTGCTGCCGAAGCGAGCACGACTTTTTTTTTTTAATAGAGATTGGGGCTTACTGTGTTTCCCAGGCTGGCCTCAAACACCTATACTCAAGTGATCTTCTGACTTCATCCTCCCAAAATGCTGGGATTACAGATGTGAGCTATTGCATACAGCCTAATTAAAAAAATTGTTGGAGACAGGGTCTTACTAAGTTACCCAGGCTGGTCTCAAACTCCTGGCCTCAGCAAACTCCTGCCTCGACCTCCCAGAGTAAGACCCAGACTTTTAAAAGATTTTTTGGCTGCCTCAGCCTATAGCATAAGATCAAATAATGATTGAGAAGAGGATGGGCTAGAGTCCACAGTGGCCTATAGTATAGTGGCCTATACCCATACCCTTCCATACTAAAGGTTTTTATTTTTACCACTGAAGCTGGTTAATTCCTGTGAGGAAATACACAATGTAGTAATGTTATCAGATATTGCTGTCAGCTTACCAAGGTAAAGATTATTTAGGTGTGTTAGCTTCTGTCAGGCAGCCCCCAAAAACAATAGTACTGTGCTTATTTACTTTTGCTTTTTTTCTAGGCCCTTAGCATTCTGATACATTTTGAGTTGACACCTCTCAAGATTGACTGGGTCAGAGTTCATCATGTCAAAGTTGAAAAGCTCAGAGTCAGTCAGGGTGGTGGTTCGCTGTCGGCCCATGAATGGCAAGGAAAAGGCTGCTTCATATGACACAGTGGTGGATGTGGATGTTAAGCTGGGGCAGGTGTCTGTGAAGAACCCCAAAGGGATGGCCCATGAAATGCCCAAGACCTTCACCTTTGACGCAGTCTACGACTGGAATGCCAAGCAGTTTGAACTGTACGATGAGACATTCCGACCGCTTGTTGACTCCGTCCTGCAAGGTTTCAATGGAACCATTTTTGCCTATGGACAAACTGGGACGGGAAAAACCTACACAATGGAAGGAATCCGTGGTGACCCGGAAAAACGAGGAGTCATTCCCAACTCATTTGACCACATCTTCACCCACATCTCTCGATCCCAGAATCAACAGTACCTGGTCAGGGCTTCTTACTTAGAGATCTACCAGGAGGAGATCCGAGATCTGCTCTCAAAGGATCAGACCAAACGGCTTGAGCTCAAAGAGAGGCCTGACACAGGAGTGTATGTGAAAGACCTGTCTTCCTTTGTCACCAAGAGTGTGAAGGAGATAGAGCACGTGATGAATGTGGGGAACCAGAACCGTTCTGTCGGTGCTACCAACATGAACGAGCACAGCTCGCGTTCTCACGCAATTTTCGTTATCACTATTGAGTGCAGCGAGGTGGGCCTCGATGGTGAAAACCACATCCGTGTAGGGAAATTGAACCTTGTAGATCTTGCTGGCAGTGAACGGCAAGCCAAGACTGGTGCACAAGGGGAAAGATTAAAAGAAGCTACCAAGATCAACCTCTCCCTTTCCGCTTTGGGTAACGTCATCTCTGCTCTGGTGGACGGCAAAAGCACTCACATTCCATATCGGGACTCAAAGCTTACCAGGCTCCTCCAAGATTCCCTTGGTGGCAATGCTAAGACTGTGATGGTGGCCAATGTGGGGCCTGCCTCTTACAATGTAGAAGAGACTCTGACCACTCTGCGATATGCCAACCGTGCCAAAAACATTAAGAACAAACCAAGGGTCAATGAGGACCCCAAGGATGCCCTCCTTCGAGAATTCCAGGAAGAAATTGCTCGGCTCAAGGCCCAGCTGGAAAAACGGTCCATAGGCAGGAGGAGGAGACGAGAGAAACGGAGGGAAGGTGGCAGTGGTGGAGGTGGGGAAGAGGAGGAGGAGGAGGGAGAAGAGGGTGAGGAGGAAGGGGACGATAAGGATGATTACTGGCGGGAACAGCAAGAAAAACTGGAGATTGAGAAACGGGCCATTGTAGAGGATCACAGCTTGGTTGCAGAAGAGAAGATGAGGCTACTGAAGGAGAAGGAGAAGAAGATGGAGGACCTGCGGCGGGAGAAGGATGCTGCCGAGATGCTGGGCGCCAAGATCAAGGTACCATAGCCATACCCTTCCTTAGGCCCTTGATATCCAGTTCTCAATAAACATCTGTTTAATTGACATGAATATGATTTTTTCACATTTACAAAAATGAAAATGGAATTAATAATGAGACGATTACATATGCACATAGTGTAAAGAACAGCAATAAAAGTAATACCCATGTACCCCCCAACCAGTGTAAGAAGTAGAACAACATCCTTTTTTTTTTTTTGAGATGGATTTTCATTCTTGTCGCCCAGGCTGGAGTACAATGGTGTGATCTCGTCTCACTGCAACATCTGCCTCCTGGGTTCAAGTGATTCTCCTGCCTCAGTCTCCCAAGTACCTAGGATTACAGGCGCCCACAACCACACTGGGTTAATTTTTGCATTTTTAGTAGAGGTTTCATCTTGTTGGCCTGGCTGGTCTCAAACTCCTGACCTCAGGTAATCTATCTGTCTCCCCCAAGTGCTGGGATCACAGACGTTAGCCTATGTGTCTGGCTTTTTTTTTTTTTTTTTTTTTTTTTTTTTGAGACAGAGTCTTACTCTGTCAATCAGGCTGGAATGCAGCGGCCCAATCACTGCAGCTTCAATCTCCCAAGCTCAAACCCTCATCCTCCCACCTCAGCCTCCCAAGTAGCTAGGACTGTAGGTATGCAACTTCACCTGGCTAAATTTTTAAAATTTTTTGTAGAGACGCAGTCTCACTATGTTGTCCAGGCTGTTCGCAAACTCCTGGGCTCAAATGATTCAATGATTTTCCCATCTCAGCCTCCCAAAGTGCCGGGATTCCAGGCCGGAGCCACCGAACCCAGCTGACACCAATATTTTTAGTGGCTCCTTGTGTTCCTCTTCCCCAGAGAAAACCACCATCCTGAGTTCAGTGGTTATTGTTTCCTTGCTTTTTCTTATAGTTTTAGCTTGTACACATATATCTCTAAAGAAAACATGGTTTTATTTCACATAATTTTTTGCTTTTTTTTTTTTTTTTGAGACGGAGTTTCTCTCTTATTACCCAGGCTGGAGTGCAATGGTGCCATCTCGGCTCACCGCAACCTTCGCCTCCTGGGTTCAGGCAATTCTCCTGCCTCAGCCTCCTGTGTAGCTGGGATTACAGCTACTTTAACCTTTTTCTTTAGCAAAAGATTTTTTTGTTAAAGCGGAAATTCATGTGTCTGGAGAAACTGTATTTTCAGTGCCACCGTGCCCAGCTAATTTTTTTTGTATTTTTAGTAGAGACGGGGTTTCACCACGTTGACCAGGATGGTCTCAATGTCTTGACCTCGTGATCCACCCACCTCTGCCTCCCAAAGTGCTGGGATTACAGGCGGGAGCCACCGTGCCCCGCCCGACAAGTTGTTTTCTTTAGTGGTTGTGCAGATTGAAGCATCTACCAGCAGGGTATGAGTTCTAGCTGCCCCTCATCCTTCCCAGCATTTGTGATGATCAGACTAATTTTTGCATGTAGAATAGCCTCTCAGTGCAGTTTCAGTATGCAGTACCTTGATCATACAAGAGACAGAACACTTCCATCCCCCCAAAAATGTCCTCACGCTACTTTCTTATTGTCAGCCTCCTCTCCCAACCCCTGGGTGCTAATATATTTCCTTTCATCGACTCCATTTTCTACCCAATGGCTATTAGCATTCGCGAGTGTGCAGGCTACCATTGTTTCGAGTCTTCTTTCTGGTGGCAATGCACTGTGCCTGCAGGTGCCTAGACTCTGGGCTCCCCTTGGCTTTAATGGCAGAGGAGAGTGCAAAGGTAGACTTGGAGGTCTGAGGATGGCCACTAGCCAACTGCAAGCCAGAATTCCTTGGAAGTGTTGAGTTCTGTTTTATTGAATTCATGTAAACTTTGATTTCTATCCTAAAATGTCTCCGTGTTTACAGATTTTAAAGTTATAAGTTCTCTTTGCCTCCCCCTACCCCCACCACATGAAGCTGTAGTGTTTTCTATAATCCGTGGCTTCATTAGTAGCCCTTTCACAGAGCTGGGTGCTATTTTACTTGAGAGGCAGGGTTCTTAAAACCTTGAAAATCCCTTCCAGGACTTTTAAGACCTAATGTGAAATGCAGTCATATTCAACACAATTAGGAGATAACTTTGTTCCAGGGAGGGGCTCTGAGACACCATTATGTCAAAGCCTCCTCACTGCTGCACTTGCACAGTGTGACTGGCTGTGCCCATATTTTGTTCTGTTTTGTTTTGTTTTGAGATAGGGTCTCTGTCACCCAGGTTGGAGTGCAATGGTGCAGTCTTGGCTCACTGCAGCCTTGACCTCCCAGGCTCAAGCAATCTTTCCACCTCAGCCTCTGAGTATCTAGGACTATAGGCCTACACCACCATGTCCAGCTAATTTTTTTTTTTTTTGTAGAGACAAAGTCTCACTGTGTTGCCCAGGCTGGTCTTGAACTTCTGGACTCAAGCAGTCCTCCCATCTTAGTCTCCCAAAGTGCCAGAATTACAGGTGTGAGCCTCTAACTCATATGGCAACACAGAACTAGACCCTGTCTTTAAAAAAATTTTTCAAAGTCCCACAAAGCCTGAATTCTGTCCCAGCAGCGTGCCTCTCCCATTAATGACTGTCTTTTCCTCACGATGGTATCTGGGGCCATATGGTTAAAGCCTGCCTGCTTGTCTGTTCCTCAGTGGATTGTGAACTTTGTGATTCACATTCACGTTGCATCTCTAGGACATAACATACAGGAGCTGCTTAATATGTTCTAAGTGGGGTTAATACTTTGTAGAAATGAGCAAAAGATTTTTTTGTTAAAGCTGAAATTCATGTGTCTGGAGAAACTGTATTTTCAGTGTTACCAAGAAGCCACCAGTGAAGCTGCCGCAGTCCCTCCCCAGTGATGGATGGGTACAGCTGAGCATAGTGTATTTTTTCCCAAAGTGTGTCCCTTTTGGCTCAGTCCTGAGCTCTTTATCTTTCACAGGCTCCCCTGTGAGGAGTTATGTTCCGAGGGAAACCATTCACGAGATGAATTCTACTTTGTTTCTCACTCAGGCCATGGAGAGTAAGTTGCTTGTTGGAGGAAAAAATATAGTAGATCATACGAATGAGCAGCAGAAAATCCTGGAGCAGAAACGACAGGAAATTGCAGAGCAGGTAACTTTTCATTCTTTTTCAGGGAGAATGGGATGGGGTACGGTGTATTTATGCTGTAGAGCAAAATTCTCTCATTAGACTCTCTTCAAAGAGAAGGAGCAAGGTATATATGCCTCGTTCTAGCTGGTCCCAGCTTGGGGAACCCAGCAGAGACACAGTCTCTAGAGCAAGCTAATGAATTTTGTCATGTTGCTCAGAAACGTCGAGAAAGAGAAATCCAGCAACAGATGGAAAGTCGAGATGAGGAGACCTTGGAACTTAAAGAGACATACAGTTCATTGCAGCAAGAGGTGGACATCAAGACCAAAAAACTCAAAAAGGTATGAAAGGAATGAGGCCAGATGGAGGTGCCTTAAGATTTAGGGAATGGGAGAACTCTATGCTCCCTCCTCACCTGCCTCTCCCCTCATTCCAGCTCTTCTCCAAGCTTCAGGCAGTGAAGGCTGAGATCCACGACCTCCAAGAAGAACACATCAAGGAGCGCCAAGAGCTGGAGCAGACTCAGAATGAGCTCACCAGGGAGTTGAAGCTCAAGTAAGTGCCAGACCTTCCATGGTGCCCCCAAGCCACTTGTTTAGTTAGAAGCAGCCCTGGCTGGGTGTGGTGGCTCACACCTGTAATCCCGGCACTTTGGGAAGCCCATGCGGGAAGATCGCCTGAGGTCAGGAGTCCAAGACCAGCCTGGCCAACATGGTGAAACCCCATCTCTACTAAGAAATACAAAAATTAGCTGGATGTGGTGGTGAATGCTTGTAGTCCCTTGGGAAGCTGAGATAGGAGAATCACTTGAACCCGGGAGGAAGAGCTGATATTGTGCCACTGCACTCCAGCCTAGGCAACAGAGTGAGATTTACATCTCATCTCCAAAATAAATAAATAAATAAATAAATAAAAATAATAGAAACAGCCCTGAGGACAGGGCCCTTCTCCAGCTCATCTCCTGCCACCCCATCTTCTGTTCATTCCTGAGAAAGTGACTTTCCATCTCTGGATCCCATCTGTTAACCAAATGACTTCACAGGTGATCTCCTACTTCCCTTCCAAAGCTGCCTTCTCAAAGCTTTTAAAGATTCTGGTCTTACATCTGTCTGATGATAAGAAGGAATCTTTTATTCACTTGACTTTTTATTATGACAGTTTTCTGAATGGTATAATGAATACCCAAGTACCCATCACCCAGATTCAAGGATTAACAAGCTTTTGCCATCTATCTTTCATAAAAATATTTTAAAGCAAATCTTACCTTATGTTATCTTACTTCTACATACTTACATATCTGATCACAGTGGGGTTTTTTCTGAGACAGAATCTCGCTCTGTCACCCAGGCTGGAGTACAGTGGCACAATCACAGTTCACTGCAGCCTCTAACTCGTGGGCTCAAACAGTCCTCCCACCTCAGCCTCCCAGGTTGCTGGGACTACAGGTGTGTGCCATTATGCCAACTAATTAAAAAAGAATTTATAGAGATAGGATCTTTTTCTGTTGCCTAAGCTGACCTCAAACTCCTGGGCTCAAGTGATCCTCCTGTTTCCTCCCAAAGTGCTGGGATTATAAATTTAAGCCCCCACACCCAGCCCACAATGCTGTCTTTAAAACAGCTTAGTTGAGACATACTTCACATACCATTCATTTCACATATTTAAAGTGTACAAATCAGGTCAGGCATGGTGGCTCACACCTGTAATCCCAGCACTTTGGGAGGCCTAGGTGAGTGGATCACCTGAGACCAGGAGTTAGCCTGGCTAACATGGTAAAATCCTGTCTCTACTAAAAATCCAAAAATTAGCTGGGTGTGGTGGTAGCCACCTGTAATCCCAGCTACTCTGGAGGCTGAGGCAGTAGAATCACTTGAACCTGGGAAGTGGAGGTTACAGTGAACTGAGGTCACACTGCTTTGCTCCATCTGGGTGACAGAGCGAGATTCTTGTCTCAAAAATAAAAATTTAAAAATTTTAAAATGATAAAGTACACAGTCATTGTATATATACATGCATGCATGGGACTGCGAAACCACCACTACAATCTGATTTTAGAACATTTTTATCACCCTCCTCCAAAAGAAACTCTACCCCCTTTCCCAGCCCGAAGTAATCACTTAGCTGCTTCCTGTCTCTATGGATTTGCCTGTTCTGGCCGTCTCATATAAATGGAATCATACACTGGGACCTTTTGTGCCTGGCATGTTTTGCCTAGCATGATGCTTTCATGGATCATGCCGCAGATATCTGCTAATCCCAACATCACTTGTTCTTTACTATGACTGAATAATATTCCACTGTATGAATAGGCCACATATTTATTTATTTTTCAGTCTATACACATTCAGATTATTTCTAGTCTTTGGCTATTATGGATAATACTTCTTTTGTTTGTTTGTTTTTTGGTTTTCTTAAGACAGAGTTTCGCTTTTTTGCCCAAGCTGGAGTGCAGTGGTGTGATCTCAGCTCACTGCAACCTCCGCCTTCCAGTTTCAAGCGATTCTCCTGCCGCAGCCTCCCAAGTAGTTGAGATTACAGGCGCCCACCACCACACCCAGCTAATTTTTTTTGTATTTTTAGTAGAGACGGGGTTTCACCTTGTTGGCCAGGCTGGTCTCAAACTCCTGACCTTGTGGTCTGCCCACTTTGGCCTCCCAAAGTGCTGGGATTACAGGCATTAGCCACTGCACCCCCACACCCAGCCCTTTTGTTTTTTTAAATTTTTTTTTTTTGAGATGAAGTCTCGCTCTGTCTCCAGGCTGGAGTGCCGTGGCGCGCACTCTGCTCACTGCAACTTCCACCTCCTGGGTTCAAGTGATTCTTCTGCCTCAGCCTCCCAAGTAGCTGAGACTGCACCACCACGCCCAGCTAATTTTTGTGTTTTTAGTAGAGACAAGGTTTCACCATCTTGGCTAGGATGGTCTCATTCTCTTGACCTCGTGATCCACCTGCCTCAGCCTCCCAAAGTGCTGGGATTACACGTGTGAGCCACCATGTCCAGCCTATGGATAATACTTCTATAAACATTCATGTGTAAGTTTTTATATGGATGTGTGTTTTCATTTCTCTGGGATATATTCATCGGAGTGGAATTGCTGGGTCATATGGTAGCTCAGTGTTGAGCTTTCTGAGAAAACGCCAAAGTTTTCCACAGTGGCTGCACTATTTACATTTCTACCACCAATTTCTCTACATCCTTTTTTTTTTCTTTGAGACAGTCTCGTTCTGTCACCCACTGGATGACAGTGGAGCAATCTCAGCACACTGCAACCTCCACCTCCTGGGTTCAAGCGATCCTCCCACATCAGCCTCTGGAATAGCTGGGACTATAGGGGCATGCCACCCCACTTGGCTAATTTTTGTGTTTTTGTAGAAATTGGATTTTACCATATTGCCCAGGCTGGTCTCAAATTCCTGGGCTCAAGGGACCTGCCTGACTCAGCCTCCCAAAATGCTGGGATTACAGGTGTGAGCCACCGTGCCAGCCTCTCCACATCCTTGTCAACACTTATCATAGCCTGTCTTTTTTGTTACAGACATCCTAATAGATGTGGAGTGGTACTTCATTGATTTGCATTTCCCTGATGACTAATGATGTTGAGCATCCTTTCATGTGCTTATTGGCCATTTGTGTGTCTTTGGAGAAATATCTATTCAAATCCTCTGCCCATTTTTAAAATGGGGTTGATTTTTATAATTAAGTTTTTTGTTTGTTTGTATCTGTGTGTGTTTTGAGATAGAGTCTTGCTCTGTCATCCAGGCTGGAGTCCAGTGGTGTGATCTTGACTCATTGCAGCCTCTACCTGCTGTTTTCAAGTGATTTTCATGCCTCAGCCTCTCGAACGGCTGGGATACAGGTGCCTGCCACCATGCCCGGCTGATATTTGTCTTTTTGGTAGAGATGGTGTTTCACCGTATTGCCCAGGTTGATCTTGAACTTGAACTCCTGACCTCAGGTAATCCACCTGCCTTGGCCTCCCAAAGTGCTGGGATTACAGGAGTGAGCCACCGCTCCCAGCCAATAATTAAGTTTTAAGAGTTATTTTTCTTCATCTTTTTTTTTTTTTTTTTTTTTTTTTTTGAGACAGAGTCTGGCTCTGTCACCCAGGCTGGAGTGCAATGGTACAAACTCAGCTCACTGCAGCCTCCACCTCGAGGGTTCAAGTGATTCTCCTGCCTCAGCCTCCGAAGTATCAGGGACTACAGGCATGTGCCACCATGACCAGCCAATTTTTGTATTTTTAATAGAGACAGGGTTTCACCATGTTGGCCATGCTGGTCTCAAACTCCTGACCTCAGGTGATCCACCTGCCTCGGCCTCCCAAAGTGCTGGGATTACAGGCATGAGCCACCATACCTAAGCCAAGTTTTAAGAGCTCTTTATATTAATATATTATGGATACCACTCCCTTGCCAGATTCATGATTTGAAGATACTTTCTGTTGTTCTGTGAGTTTTTTTTGTTTCGTTTTTTTTAAAGATGGGGTTTCACAATGATGGCCAGGCTGGTTTTGAACTCCTGACCTCAGGTGATCCACCCACCTCGGCCTCCCAAAGTGCTAGGATTACAGGCATGAGCCACCACGCCCAGCCTCTGTGAGTTGTTTTTAAACTTTCTTGATGGTATTACTTATAGCACAAAAGATTTCCATTGTGATGTAGCCCAATTTAATTCTATTTTCTTTTGTTTATTGTACTTTTGGTATTGTATCTAGATTTGCCTTTTCTGGACCTTTCGTATAAATGTATAAATGGAGTAATATTGGAGTAATGCGGCCTTTTGTTACTGCTTTCTTCCACTGTGTGTGTGTGCGTGTGTTTGTATGTGTTTTCTTGGGTTTTTTTTTTTTTTTTTTTAAGAGATAAAGCCTTCTTCTGTGAAACAGACTGGAGTGCAGTGGTGCCATCATAGCTCACTGCAGCCATGACCTGCTGGGTTCAAGTGATTTTCCTGCTTGAGCCTCCTGAGTAGCTGGGACTTCAGGTGCATGCTACTACACTGGCTAATTTTTAAAATTATTTTTGTAAGTGTGGGTCTTGCTGTGTTGCCAAGGCAATATATATAAACATGTATTTTTGAGATGGAGTTTTGCTCTTGTTGCCCAGGCAGGAGTACAGTGGCACAATCTTGGCTCATTGCAACCTCTGTAGAAATAGCCCACATTGCTTCTGCTGGTTTGGTGAATGTATTTTGAGTACTCTTGATCTCTCATGAGGTCTGGGCAAGATATTTTTTGAAACTATAGGTAATATGAATGTGCAGCCTGGCTTGAGAAATTCGGAGCTAATGGTTTCAGCCAACAGGTGATCTTTGTCTGGATCCATGATTTCATTAGCGGGGTTACAAATGACCGTGCCTGGCCAAAGAAGAACTTTTCCTCTTTTTTTTTTTTGAGACGAAGTCTCACTCTGTCGCCCAGACTGGAGTGCGGTGGCATGATCTTGGCTCACTGCAACTGCTGCCTCCCAGGTTCAGGCAATTCTCCAGCCTCAGTCTCCTGAGTAGCTGGGATTACAGGCGTGTGCCACCACACCCAGCTAATTTTTGTATTTTTAGTACAGACCAGGTTTCACCATGTTGGTCAGGCTGGTCTCAAAATCCTGACCTCATGATCCACCCGCCTCAGCCTCCCAAAGTGCTGGGATTACAGGTGTGAGCCACTGTGCCTGGCAGAAGAACTTTTCAAAGGGATTCTTTTAATGACCAAATTTTAAATTTGGAAAAGAGCCTTTAAAATTAAATGTGGGCCAGATGTGGTGGCTCATGCCTATAATCCCAGCACCTTGGGAGGCTGAGGTGGGTGAATTGCCTGAGCTCGGGAGTTCAAGACCAGCCTGGGCAACATGGTGAAACCCCGTCTCTACTAAAAATACAAAAAAAATTAGCCAGGCGTGGTGGCATGTGCCTGTAATTTCAGTTACTCCAGGGGCTGAGGCACAAGAATCACTTGAACCCGAGAGATGAAGGTTGCAGTATGCCGAGATCACACCACTTTACTCCATCCTGAGTGACAGAGCAAGACTGTCTCCAAAAAAATTAATTAAATGTATGTGTCGGTCAGTCCTCTTTGTAGGTATGTACATCTAGAAAAACAATCAGGACAATATACCAAAATATTAATAATATTTATCTCGGGATAGTGAAATTGTGAGTAATTATGTTTTTTACATTTTCTTCTTCTTCTTCTTTTTTTTTTTTTTTGAGACAGATTATTGCTCTGTCACCCAGGTTGGAGTGCAGTGGCGTAATCTTGGCTCATTGCAACCTCTGCCTCCCAGGTTCAAGTGAATCTCATGCTTCAGCCTCCGAAGTAGCTAGGATTACAGGTCAACCACACATGGCTAATTTTTACATTTTTAGTAGAGACAGGGTTTTGCCATGTTGATCAGTCTGGTCTTGAACTCCTGACCTCAGGGGATCTGCCAAAATATTTTTTTCTAAGGAGTCTATTTTCATTATTATATCTCTTTTTATTTATTTATACTTTGGATGGAGTTTTAGCCTAGGCTGAAATACAATGGCTCACTGCAACCTTCACCCTCTAGGTTCAAGCAATTCTCCTGCCTCAGCCTCCCAAGTAGCTAGGATTATAGGTGCCCATCACCACACCTGGCTAATTTTTGTATTTTTAGTAGAAACAGGGTTTCACTATGTTGGCCAGGCTGGTCTCGAACTCCAGACTTCAGATGATCCACCCACCTCAGCCTCCCGAAGTGCTAGGATTACAGGCATGAGCCACCGTGCCCAGCCTGTATCTGTTTTTATATCTTTTGAGTAAACAGTGAGTCAGCCTGTTTCTCACAGTACCCTATACGTCTGTTCTGTTTGCTCTGTGTCCCTTCCACGTTATTTCCTCTTAGCATTGTTTTGTCTTGAGGCTTTAGAAGAATAAAGGCAGAGATGTAACAGGAGACAGTCATCACCCTAGAGAGACATAACCAGTGGGTTCCAGTTTCCTTGTTTGATGTGTTTCCTGGGCACTCATCAGGCAGAGACTATACACAGGAATAGTCTTCATTCTCAGTGCCCTCAGGGACTGAAATCGATTCAGTCCTGCTTTTTATCCTGATCAGTAAGAAAGGGAAATTTTCCAGCTTGAACAACAAGCCGTGGGATTGGAGTAGGGCAGTTTAATTTATTCTGTTTTTGGCATTTTGGAAGTTAATAACCTGGGTTAGCAGTACCTGTGGCCCTCTCAAAGATACTTCAGGTAGCAAATGTTCACTCCAGTATAGACCAGGCATCACCTCGCTCTTCAGCCCATTCACATCCTGCCCCTTCCCAGGCAGAAGTGACCTCTCCATGTTTCTAAGACAGACCGCTCTCAGTGCCTGTTATGCCTGACAGGGCTGCACCGTTACCTTTAGTTGCAGGCAGGATCCAGACGTCGTTTGTGTCTGTATCTCTGCTGTTTGTATGCTGTTAGGCCCATAGTACCTGCTGAGTAAGTGTTTGCTGTGTGCCTCGACTCTCACCCAATTACTCACCATGCATGAGACCAGATAGCCGTCACTTCATGTGTATTCTGTATCTGTTTTCACCTATGTTATGTGTGCTCTTACAGGCATCTTATTATAGAAAACTTTATCCCTCTGGAAGAAAAAAGTAAAATTATGAATAGAGCTTTCTTTGATGAAGAGGAAGATCATTGGAAACTACATCCTATAACCAGACTGGAGTAAGTCACTATTAACTTTAAGTATATTTTCATGTATGGGGGAGGAAAAGAATGTTGATGACAAGACACCTTCGGTCAACAAAGAGGTATGGTAAGAACACATTTTGGCTCATTGAAACTCAAAACCCATTGCATTTCTGATTTTGTAGGTGCCATAGATCCACCAGGTGAAAGTTTGATGATGAGGGTGGTTTTAGGAATTAGGAGACTTTGTCACTAGTGAGCAAGTGACCTTTTCAAAGTTCCTGCATTTCTGTTTCCCCATCTGTGAAGTATGCTAGGCCACATGAGGGGCAATTCAGAGCTGTTTGTGTGTCATTCTGATCCAGTGTTGAGAAGGATTCTCACTCTAAGTCCGGGTCCTGCTGGAAAGACAGGAGACACCTGGCAGGGATGCAGAGATGGGCAGTGTTGACAGCTATGCTTTGTGAATGCCATCCATGAACTGGGCGATGACTAAAATCCCTCTGGCTTAAAAGATGCATGATGCTGTGATCAGAAAGCAACTCAAGCAGAAAACAGAATCAGCTCCTGTCCCACTTATGTCAGCCCGCTGTCCAGGGAGTTACTTGCTTCAGGTTCTATCAGAGTCTTCCCAGTGCTGGTTCCACAGGACTCCAGCCAGGGCGTTAACGCTGCACTTCATTTTCAGGAACCAGCAGATGATGAAGCGGCCAGTCTCAGCCGTGGGATATAAGAGACCACTGAGCCAGCACGCAAGAATGTCCATGATGATTCGTCCAGAGCCCCGATACAGGGTAAGAAGATCCTTCTTGGGTTTTTCTCTTGTCTCTTCTGGAGTTTAGATTTGTGTAAACCTTTAAATACTATTCCACTCGGATTTTATACCCTCTTTCCAGAGGTACTTGAAAACAATAACAACAATTATAACAATTAATAAGCTGAGCACAGTGGCTCACACCTGTAATCCCAGCAGTTTGGAAGGCCAAGGTGGGCAGATTGCTTAAGCCCAGGAGTCTGAGACCAACCTGGGCAATGTGGCGAAACCCCTAACTCTACTAAAAATACAAAAATTAGCCAGATGTGGTGGTGTGTGCCTGTAGTCCCAGCTACCTGGGAGGTTGAGGTGGGAGGATTACCTGAGCCTGGGAGGCAGAGGTTGCAGTGAGCCAAGATTGTGCCACTGCACTCTCTAGCCTGGGTGACAGAGAACCTGTCTCAAAAAATAAGGAAATATAATAAAAATAATAACTAATAGGCCAGATACAGTGGCTCATGCCTATAATCTCAGCACTTTGGGAGGCTGAGGTGGGCAGATCACCTGAGGTCAGGAGTTCACCTGGGGCCAGGAGTTCACCTGGCCAATGTGGTGAAACCCCATCTCTACTAAAAATATAAAAATTAGCCAGGCATCATAGCAGGTGCCTATAATCCCAGCTACTTGGGAGGCTGAGGCAGGAGAATCACTTAAACCCAGGAGGTGGAGGTTGCAGTGAGCCGAGATCATGCCATTGCACTCCAGCCTGGGCAACAAAAGCGAAACTCCGTCTCAAAATAACAATAATAATAATAATAACAACAACAACTAATGGTAATAAATAAAAAGATGAATGAAGTTTAGAAAGTTAGTAGTAGATGCCAGGCACGGTGGCTCACATCTGTAACCCCAGCACTTTGGGATGCTGAGGTGGGTAGATCACATAAGGTCAGGAGTTTGAGACCAGCCTGGCTAACATGATGAAACCCCATCACTACTAAAAATACAAAAATTAGTCAGACGTGGTGGCACACACTGTAGTCCCAGCTACTTGGGAGGCTGAGGAAAGAAAATCGCTTGAACCCGGGAGGCAGAGGTTACAGTGAGCCAAGATTATGCCACTGTACTCCAGCCTGGGTGACAGAGCAAGACTCCATCTGAAAAAAAAAAAAAGAGTCAATACTAGAGAAGGAGAATACAAACTTCTATCCATCATGGCCAATTGGTATCAACAAGAGCTTCAAAATGCCTCTGTGGGAAGACTGGTGAGAACACAGATGTGTAGTCACAGGAGATGGACCTGTCAGAAAAGCTTCAGGTACTTTCATCTTAGAAAATGTGTGTCAGTCATGTAGACATTTAAAGGGACATCACTGAGGACTATTTAATGACCCCAAAATAGAAAAATAGAAACTCTATTTTTCTTGTTTTGCTCTGTTACCCAGGCTGGAGTGCAGTGGCACAGTCTCTGCTCACTGTAACCCCCTTCTCCTGGGTTCAAGCCATTCTGGTGATTCAGCCTCCCTAGTAGCTGGGACTACAGGCACACACCACCACACCCAGCTAATTTTTGTATTTTTAGTAGAGATGGGGTTTCACCATGTTGGCTAGGCTGCTTTTGAACTCCTGACCTCAGGTGCTGGGATTATAGGCATGAGCCACTGCACCGGCCTTTTTTTTTTTTATATAGGCAAGATCTCACGGTGACACCCAAGCTGGAGTGCTATAGCACAATCATAGCTCACTGTATCCTCAAACTCTTGGGCTCAAGTGAGCCTCCTGCCATGGCCTCCCAAAGCACTGGGATGACCACGCCCAGCTGAGAGCTTCTGTTTATAAGCATTGCTGTGTGCCGGGCACTGTACGCAGCACTTGACTGCTTTCTCTAATTAAGCTTCCCCATCTCCTCTATGCAGTCAGTCCTGTTGCTTGAAGGTCAGGTAGTATGGCAGGTGGCTGAACTAGGATACACAATGTATTAAGTTACAGAGTAATTTGTACCAGAAGTATATATACGAATAAAAAATGTGGTACAAAATGTATCAAAATGTAAACTGTTTTTCTCTGGTTGCTGGAAGTACACTCAATTTATTTTTTTTTCTTTTTGCTCATCCATATTTTATAAGTATCAGTAAGGAGCTTGTATTATTTTTATAGTGAAAGATTTTCACTTTAAAATAGTTTTTAAAATGTTTCTGAGTCTCTCTTGGCAGCCAGAGCCAAACAGAAGATTAAGATGAGTTAGCTCCTTGGGTGCCGTTCCTCCTGGCTTTGGGTTATTTAAAAGAAAGAAAGCAAAAGCAAAAAATGAGGTGGGGTTAGTCTTGTAAAACTGCATCACTTCTTTTAGGCAGGCTCTTTCTTGGTAGGCCCTGAATAAGAAGCAATTTGCACTTCTGTTCCTGGAGGGGGCCTCGATTGCCTGTACTGTCTGTGTCCAGTTGGAGGCTAATCTAGCTGCTGATGGCTTGCTTCTGCAGGCAGAAAACATTGTGCTGTTAGAGCTGGACATGCCCAGCCGGACGACCAGAGACTATGAGGGCCCAGCCATTGCCCCCAAGGTCCAGGCTGCATTGGATGCAGCCCTGCAGGATGAAGATGAGATACAGGTGGATGCATCATCCTTTGAAAGCACTGCAAATAAGAAATCCAAGGCCAGGTGAGTGGCTTTGATGAGTTGTGTTTAAACAGAACATGTTTGAACAAGGACAAACCAAAGCAAGAATGTTTGTTTATCATGGAAAATACTTTGCAGAACACACTGGAAAATGTTGCCATATTACTCCTATGTTTACTTATTTATTCTACAAATATTTTTGGTTGAGACACTATGCCAGGTATACTGAATGGCAGAATACCAAACGTCCCCAGGCCCATACTGTAAGGTGAACGAATGTGTTCCGGTGAAGTAGCAGTCAGTTCTTCAGTTCTCACAAGGTGTTTGGTAGATCTAAGTGCTTTACAGACATTCTCTTAATGATTTCCTGCAAAACGTTATAAGGTAGGCCGGGTGCAGTGGCTCACGCCTGTAATCCCAGCACTTTGGGAGGCCAAGGTGGGCAGATCACCTGAGGTCAGGAGTTCGTGACCAGCCTGACCAACATGGAGAAACCCCATCTCTACTAAAAATACAAAAATATTAGCTGGGCGTGGTGGTGCGTGCCTGCAATCCCAGCTACTCAGAAGGCTGAGGCAGGATAACAGTTTGAACCCAGGAGGTGGAGGTTGCAGGGAGCCAAGATCGCACCATTGCACTCCAGCCTGGGCAACAGGAGTGAAACTCCATCTCAAAAAAAAAAAGTATAAGGTAAATATTATAACCGGTCCCATTTTACAGACAAGAAAACCGCAACTTAGAGAATTTGAGAAAGTAGCCATCTCCAAGGAAACCCAGCAAGTGAGGGCCAAAGCAAGAATGCAGAAATGGGTCAGCCCATATCCACAACCCAGGCTCTGGGTCCCCATGCTAAGTTTACCTCACCTATTTGGTGCAAAAGTAGAAATCTGTTTTATTACATTGTAGATTAGAAGTTTTAGGAAAATAACTGGGTGGAAAACCAAAATGGAAGAAATTCTATCTACCAACTTAATGTTTTCTTTATCAATCTGGAAAGGACAGTCAACCTTTGGTTTTAAAGGAAGAACAATTGCTAAGCATCAGAGTTGCTTCTCTCAGGTTCCACACCTCTATTCTGAGGCCATTTTGGCCATGGCCAAAGATTCAGGCTGTGCTAGTCTAGTGGTTTTACAGTTGAACGTATCATCATTTTAAGGCCATTGGAGAAAGGCCACCTTGAAATGTTAGACATCTGATGTGTCAGGGACAGAGATAGGGACATGTAATGTAAACACGTGTTTGACTTTTGCAGGCCTAAAAGTGGAAGGAAGTCGGGATCCTCCTCCTCTTCCTCAGGAACCCCTGCATCTCAGCTTTATCCACAGTCTCGGGGGCTGGTTCCAAAGTAAAGCCAGCTCCTCTTCTCCCAGGGTGGACACAGCATTTGCCTTCTGAGAGAAGACTAGCAAAAAGCTACAGAGAGGACTTCAGCCCAAACTCAGAACTGTTCCCCTGAGGAGAAGTGATGGCCTCTTTGCAGATCAACCAACTTAACCTGGTCAAATGTGCTGGTCCTCATCTGGCACTCAGCTCCTCTGGGAAACATCTTTTAATTAGCATCTCAGAAATGCATGGGTAAGGTACAGTGCGATAGTCCAAGTGGAAAGCAAGAGAATGACCAGTGACCTTGCTTCCTTCCCCCTTGCCTTCTTCTCCCCCTTCCCCTGCTCTCCCTTTGTCTCCCCTCTCCTTTTCCAGCCTGTTCTTTACATGGGGCTCCCTTCTTGTTGAACAATAGGGCAGAATCAGGAGTCACCTTAGCAGGACCACATCCAAGAGCCTCAGGATAAAATGACAGTGAGGTTGAAAAGTAAAAGCCCTAGAACTTGAATAGGTGCCTGTTCTTGTTGGAGAAATGAGAAATCGCATTTGGATCCAGGCCCCAGATGGGCCCCATCAGCAGTCCTGCTTCCAAGCACCTCAGTAAGAAGCGGATCTGCCCTTGAGAGCTGCTCAGTGAGGAAATCTCTTCCAGTTTCTGCTTCTGAAGGACTCAATGTTGGGAGCAATAGAAATAACATTCCCTTTGCCTCCTCGGGAATGTTTAGGGAAACAGCTTCTTTAAAACCTCAAAACCGTGACCATCCTTTCAAAGACCTAAGTCTCTAAGCCTGTAAGCTGGTGCCATGCCCATACACCATGCCACTTGACTCTTCATTTGTCACCATCTTTTCCCAATCATGCATACTCTGAGCATCCTTGTGTGGGTCCATCCTCTGCCTCCAGAGCATGCTTTGCAGTGGGCCTGTTTCGTGGGAGAAAGGAGGCTGGTTCTGCCTTCTCTGATAGGGCTAGAGTTGAGGGAAGGGGTTGTATAGTGGCACTTTTGAATTCCCTGTTTTGTTCCATATTGGTACAGAGAGCAGAAGAGTAGCTAGGCAGACACAGAGATGGAGACATGAGACTCAGTGCAGTGGGTAGGAAAGGCATAACAGATGGAAGCAAAGGAATCTGCCTGTCTTTAGCAGAGACAGAACTCACCAAATCCTAGAACTGTGGCTCCCTCCAGGCTCAGACCTAAGATGCTGTCAAGAGTGGCTGCGTGATTGAATAGGCTCAGAGGAGAGTTCAGAATTCCTGTTTACATATACTAGTTTGGTTTGTAAGTTTTAGTTCCTTGTACTGTTGAGATTCAGAGTTTCATTTTATGTTGGTCATTAGGTGAATATTACTCATTTTCCCCCAAGAGAAGCTCATGAGTGTGTGAGGGTGTGAGAACACAATGGTGCCTGTTTTGTGAATGTGTCCATGTGTGTTTGTAAGAGAGACCAAGAACTTGCCCAATATTAGAAATACACTAATGTGCAGTTGTTGCCTTTTATCTTTATTAAAGGCCCATTGAATGACTAATCCACGCTAGAAGCATTCCCATGTGGGTGTCTGAGTCCATGAGCCAAGCCTGAGGGGACAGTGTGAGTCTCCAGGTCTGCCACACTGGTGCACCTTGCTGGCACGGTGCCTCAGGAAAGTGGCGACTAAGGTGGGCCTTGAGTTATACTTTAACTCAGCTGCTCAGTTCCCAGGGCACATTTCTGGATCAGAACTCATGGGAAATAGGAGGTACTAAGTGCAATGTCTTAGCATTCTGCAGAATGGAGATCTGTTGTCCAGTGGCTTATCTCCTTTTTAGGAACCCTTCTTTTTGAACCCAGGGCCCTTTTCAGCATAATAGAGCCTTCCCTCCTCTTTTCTTGAGATCAAACCTTGCTTCTTATTTACTAAGGATTTGCCTGTTTGAAATAGAGCAAAACACTAAGGTGGATAGCCTAAGCTGGTTGTTTGCTAGTTACACGTGTCTCACAACACATATCGTCAAAGCTAATCTGAATTCTGTAGGCTAAAAATATTTATGTAGCAAATCCGAGAACTGAAAACTGCAGATAACTGGCTGGGTATAGTGGTTCGTGCCTATAATCCTAGCACTTTGGGAGGCCGAGGTGGTTGCATCACCTGAGGTCAGGAGTTCGAGACCAGCCTGGCCAACATGGTGAAACCCCATCTCTATTAAAAATACAAAAATTTACTAGGTGTGGTGGTGCACACCTGTAGTCCTAGTATTTGGAAGGCTGAGGCACAAGAATCGCTTGAACCTGGGAGGTAGAGGTTGCAGTGAGTCAAAATCCACCACTGCATTCCAGCCACCTCAAAAAAAGGAAAAAAAGAAAAGAAAAGAAAACTGCAGATAACCCTATACCTTAATACTGGTATCCTGAGGTGACTCTTCTGACCAAGGGTGGTTAAGTGACACACAGAACTTTTCTAAGAAGGCAAAAGAAGACTCATTTGGAAATGAAGCCGTCCTTTTCCAAGCAGTCTCTGGTGCTTTTCTTCTCTCAAAATGGATCCGATAAATATTTGAATAGAGCAGATTGTAGAATGTCTTGCTGCCACCAGAAAGCTGCTTGCTTTGGGCTCTATATTGAGCCAAATAGGTAGAGGACCTACCAAGCCCACTGAGGGACCAGGTTTTCTTGTCTCGAGTCATATGTAGGATGTTCTGAGCCGTCTGAGGGCCTTCATGCCAGCAGCAGCTAGCGAAGTCTGAAAGCAAGTCTAACAGGATCTAAGAGGACCATCAAGAGAAGGAGTTTGAGACTGTATATGCAACCCCAGGAGACCCCCTTTTGCTGTGATCTGGAGAATGTATCTGGCTTCATATTTTAAAGTCCATGTCTCTCAGACCCCTGGATTCAGAACCCAAGGCCCCAAATCGTAGGCATGAAGCACTTTCTTAAGACTGACCTACCGCTGGATTGTTTCCCGTCTAATGCCTGCATGCTGCTTGAATCGCTCACCTACACCTCCGTGACCAAGGGCGCCAGAGTGCTGCAGCGTGGGCAGGGGCCATGCTCTGCTTTTCCTGTCTGACTCTGACAAGTCCTCCCTCACTGAATGTAGAATCGTTGCCAAGTTTCTGAGAAGTGTCCATTTCCTGTTAACGTGGATATCGGTTCTGCCTCACATTTCCCACTTGGGGTTGAGGCGTGTTGGACCATCTGAACCCCATCAGTGGACGAAAATGGGGCTGTTAATACTAAAAGCCATAGTAACAATGCTCGGAGGGAACTGGCTGAGAATAGTGGGCCTGGCGATTGTCTATCACACAAGGCTTTGTTCTGTACTGTTGAGAAATCTGTCACCTTTCTGCCTGTCCTTGTTTCCTGAATGAAATGCTTCTGGGTTATTTATGAAAGGAGTGATCCTGGGGCAGGCAGGAGGCAGTGAGCTTCATGGCTCTTTGAAGTTGTTATTGATCTTGACCTTCTCTTTGGCTACCTTTAGACGAAGAATATGCCAATCAATACTTGGGGCTCTAAGTTTTACAATTGATATTTATTTGTATCATCTCTTTGTCTAGGAATGTAAAAGTGATTCTAAACTAAGATGTGTAATAAAAATCAATCAGATTTATTGTACCTACAAAAAAGTGTCCTTATAAATGACTAAGGGGTTTGAAAATGACATGCCTGTGGCTGACACCTGACATTTTCGATAAACATTTTAATTGGGTGGGAGTAGGAAAATGAAGATTTAGTTGTGATGCTGATGTTATCTAATATGGCGACAAGAGGCAGGGTGCAGTGGCTCACACCTGTAACCGTAGAACTTTGGGAGGCTGAGGCAGGAGAACAACTTGAACCCAGGAGGAGAAGATTGCAGTGAGCCGAGATTGCACCAATGCACTCCAGCCTGGGCCGAGAGCGAGACTCAATCTCAAAAAAATAATAAAAATAAATAAATAATATAGCAACAAAGAAAATAGACATAAAATGAAGAAGGGCAGAGTGACAAGTAACTGCTTTTCATGTTTTTCCATAGAGGTTCCTGAGACAGACCTGGCCAACAGGCATGAAATTTCTTTTAACTTTTGTCTTTTGTTTTAAAAATTCCTTTAAAAAGGCCGACCGCGGTGGCTCACGCCTGTAATCCCAGCACTTTGGGAGGTCAAGAGATCGAGACCATCCTGGTCAACATGGTGAAACCCCATCTCTACTAAAAATACAAAAAATTAGCTGGGCACAGTGGCACGTGCCTGTAATCCCAGCTACTCAGGAGGCTGAGGCAGGAGAATTGCCTGAACCCAGGAGGCAGAGGTTGCGGTGAGCCGAGATCGCGCCATTGCACTCCAGCCTGGGTAACAAGAGCGAAACTCCATCTCAAAAAATAAATAAATAAATATTTCTTTAAATGTACTATTACATGTCATACGTAAATATACATCTGTGCTTTTTTTTTTTTTTTGGAACAGGGTGTCACTCTGTTGCCCAGGCTCGAGTGCAGTGGTGTGGTCATGGCTCTCTGCAGCCTCAACCTCGCAGGCTCAAGTGATCTTCCCACCTCAGCCGGGACTATAGGTGTGCACCATTATGCCTGACTAGTTTTTTATTTTTTATAGAAATGTGATCTCACTATTTTGCACAGGCTGCTCTGTGCCTTTTTTAACACAAAAATATTTTATGTTGTTTACCAACAAGAAAAAAAGATACAAAAAATGGGCCACACATTGTCTCATGGAATCCCATGCTCCTAGGCCTGCTGGAGTGACCCTGGGGGATTGTGCACCCTAGTTGAGACGTGGGACTGGGTGGAAGGAGCACAGACCCTGGACTCCAAGCTGGATTTGAATTCTGGTATTGCCACCGCTTACTAGCCACGTGACTAGCACACATTTAGTTTCCCTCTCTGAACTTTCAGGTCTTTTGTCTATAAAGTGGTGTGATTATCTTCACTTTGAAGGGCCGTTGTGAGGATCAGCGATACATTTAAAACAACAAGTACAGGATGTAGATAGAGCAGATATTTAAAAATGTGGTTACTGCTATGATAAGGCACTGTGTTTAGAAGATACCATGAACGCCTTGGGTCCTGAGAAACTAGAATTCAATATTGGACATACCATCTTCAGAAAATCCTAAGGAAAAGCCATTAACCATTTAGCAATGTATGTGGAGTACCTAGTATGTGTCAAGCTATTCTAGGCACTAGATACATAGATGTAACACCAGAAACCTGCCTGCATGGAACTTGCACTTTAATGGGGGTGGAGGATGGGTAAATGTTAAATTAACCAAATGCACATAAAGATAGGATTGCGAATTGTGACAATGCCATGAAGTTATAGAATAGGTTTTGTGTTTTGTTTTTGAGGTGAGCTCTTGCTCTGTTACCCAGGCTGAAGTACAGTGATGTGATCATGGCTCACTGTACCCTTGACCTCCTGGGCTCAAACAGCCCTGCCCCAGTCCTCCAAGCAACTGGAACCAAGGTGCAAACCACTACACCCGACTAATTTTTTTTTTTTTTTTAAGAGATGGGATTTTGTCATTTTGCCTAAGATGGTCTTGAACTCATGGGCTTAAGTGATCCTCCTGCCTCAGCTTCCCAAAGTGCTCGGATTATAATCGTGAGCCACCCTGCATGGCCAATATAATAGAATATTAGAAGAGAATAGTGGAGGCGTAATTTAGATGGGGTGGGTAAAGTAGGGAAGAGCTTTTTGAAGAAATGGCAGTAATGGCAGTTACAGTGAGATCTAAAGGACAAGAGTTAGCTGGGCAAGGAGGAGGGAAGGGCATTTGTGAAGGGATGGGGGAACAGTATTTGCAAGGGTTTGCAGAACAGACTCGAATTTCACAAGAAGGTGTCTGCAGTCCCTTTTTACCCTCACTAGAGGGAAGCATGGAGAACTATTGCAGAAAAGATTTCAGTCTAGGACTGGAAAGGTACCAACAAAAAATGTAAAGAACACAAGGGGACAGTGGCCTGTGCGACTCAGGCAAAGGTTTCATAATTGTGTTTCTTCCTGAGATGCTTTCAAACTATGTGTAATGTCTGTTTACTCCCCACCCTTCCAAAAATAGTTAAGAAACAGCTTGGCTTAGCCTAAAGAATGAGTCGTTTAGAATAGTTCAGAATCCATTACTCAGAAAGCAAGAGTTCAAAGTGTGATTTGAAGAACTGTGTGTTCTTGAAAATGACAGAATTTGCCGGGCGTGGTGGTTCACACCTATAATCCCAGCACTTTGGGAGGCCAAGGGGGCAGATCACCTGAGGTTTGGAGTTCGAGACCAGCCTGACCAACATGGAGAAACTCTGTCTCTGCTAAGTTTCTACAGAATTAGCCGGTGCATGCCTGTAATCACAGTTACTCAGAAGTCTGAGGCAGGAGAATTGATTGAACCCAGGAGGTGGAGGTTGTGGTCAACCAAGACCGCACCATTACACTCCAGCATAGGCAAGGAGTGAAACTCCATCTATCCGTCTGAAAAAAAAAAAAAAAAGAAAATAGGAAATGACAGAATTCTTGGTTGGGCCAGAGTCTAATTCATGAGGGGAGATACAGGACAGACAGGGCACCTGGGCAACTTGGAAACTCCTACCAACTCAGTTTTATTTTTGTCTTTTGAATTTTTAAAATTTTAATCAAGAAACGACTGAATTTTGGAAACTGTATTTTGAACTTCAAACTGATCATTTAAGTCTTAGGGCTTGTGATTTTGGCAGGCCCTCTGTTACTAGAGTCACCATCTGATTGAAGCTTACCCTAAGAATCTGGTCTCCAAGGACCATGTGGTGGCCACATCTGCCAACTGGGTTGTCAGTGGCATTTGTCAAGGACGTAACTGTAGCTCTTGCAGCTGCTGTTTTATCCTCAGTTTCTCTCACTCATCTTGTGGTTAACTGGTCCCTGGGTGCTTCAGTGAGGCGTGCCAACGGGGAACTTAACTGTTGGGGTGGAGGAACGGGCAGAGGGAGCGATGGCTCACCGCATCTCAAGGGGACAGTGCAGCTCGCAGCCACTTGTTGAATGCTCTCTGTGTACCAGGTGTCTTGCCCTGCCCTGGAGAGAGGGAGGTGAGTAGATGCATCATGGTCCTTCTGAGGAGATGGGAGACAGAAACACAAGGATGGCAATTCAGAGCACTTGGTGCCCAAGAGGCCTGCCTCCTCTCCCCACACAGCCCTCCTAGTCCTCTGAGGCCGGAGCCACAAAGGCCTCCATTGGTTCCTGGTTATGCCATGTGCTTTCCTGCCCAGCACCTTCACACCTTCACACATGCCATGCCCTCTGCCTGAAACATTTTCTCCCCATTCTTTGCTTGGCTAACTCCTGCTCATCCATCAGGAAGCAGTTGAATGTCACTTCCTCAGAGAAGCCTTCCCCATGGTGGTTTTCCCCATCTCCACCTGGCTGTGTGGTGTCTCTCACCATGTCTTGTTTCCTTCTTAGCCCTGTTCCCAGTTTGTAATTATGTATTTCTTTGCACTGGTCTCTCCAACTAGACAGTGCTCCCTGCATGTTGTGTTTTCTAATGTTGACACTGAGGTGAGTCAGATGGCTGGATCGGTACTGACACCTACAGCTCCCAACACAGTGTTATCTGTCAGAGGAAGGAGAGGAAGAGCAAGGTTTTGCAAAGGAGGCAACAGAGAATGAGTAGGAACCAGGTGTGCTGAGTCACACCTATGATCTCAGCACTTTGGGAGGCTAAGGCAGGAGGATCACTTGAGGCCAGGAATTCAAGACCAGGCTGGGCAACATAGTGAGACCTCATTTCCACAAACAAAAAAATGTTTTTAATTCATCAGGCATAGTGGCATGAACCTGTAGTCCCAGCTACTCAGGAGGTTGAGGTTGGAGGCTCACTTGAGCCTGGGAGGTCAAGGCTGCAGTGAGTTATGATTGCGCCACTGCACTCTAGCCTGTGTGACAGAGGAAGGAAGGGTGAGCATGCCAGACAAAGAAGAAGACAACATGGATAAATGCAAGGAGAGTTCCTGGTGACTGGGGAATCTGATGGGCCTGGAGTGATGGAATGGATGTGGAGAATGGAGCTGGGAGGGTCTCAACTCCATGGCTCAAGTTGGAGGGAGAGCCCTTGGAGGCTTTTGTGTGTTTTGGAGACCAGGGGAGCAAAGCACAGCCCTATTTACACTCGAGTATTTTCTCCTTAAGCCAGCCTGGCATGCTGTTATTTCTTTTTGAGATAACAGAAAGCAGTTTCACTAAGTGCCTGCTTTAAGTTGGCCTGCTGTTCACGCAGCTTTCGGGGCTGAGTTGGCAAATTGCCTTCTGCCAGGAGCTTTCTCTGGCACAGCTACTCCCCAAGGAATTCTAAGGAGCACTTGAGCTTGACTCCAAGGTCTTAGTTCCCTAGGAATGGGGCCCAGTCTTTTTTCAGGGCAGTGGGCTGGAAGGTGGCCCCTTTTCTGCATTTGGCAGCAGAGAAATTAAACTTCTGCCATTGGTTCAGGGATTTGTTTTTCTGTTCAGTCAACAAAAGATTAACCTCTGCTGTTCAAGACTCTATGTCATGGGCTACAGCTGTGAACCCTGCTCTTGAAGAACTCTCAGTCTGGAGGAAATTCTGGCCATTCACAAATGAGTAAATTTAAGGTGAGCAGTGGCACAGATACAGCACAAAGGAGGGGTCACAGATTTCCACAAAGGGCTTTGTTATGCAGTGATCACCCTGTGCTGGATTATTCCAGGGACAGTGAGGAGCCAGGGCATTGGCGTCAGATTCATTTATTCATTCTTTGAGCATCTACTAAGTACTGGGCATTCCTCTAGATCCTGGGGATATAGAAGGAAGGCCCAGCCCTAAGGGATGTCAGTCGCATCCTAATAGGGGAGGCAGCTGGTTGTCAAAGGACACACATGCTGTGTCTAATGGTGGTCAGAAGTGCTCTGAAGTAAAACCAGGCAGGTCAGAGAGTAAAGAGCTGGGGGTATGGCCGAGCTGGATTGGGAGGGCAGGGAAGGCATCTCTGGAGTGATGAGATGTATGTTTGAGCAGAGCCCTGAATGAAATTAGGGAGCAAGCTGTGTGAGCATCTGGTACCTGGAGGCAGAATATTCTAAAAAGTAAGAGTCAGAGTGTGGCTGGGCACGGTGGCTCACACCTGTAATCCCAGCACATTGAGAGGCTAAGGCTGGCGGATCACCTGAGGTCAAGTTTGAGATCAGCCTGGCCAACATGGTAAAACCCCGTCTCTACTAAAATATAAAAATTAGCCAGGTGTGGTGACATGTGCCGTAATTGCAGCTACTCAGGAGGCTGAGGCAGGAGAATCCTTTGAACCTAGGAGGCGGAGATTGCAGTGAGCTGAGATTGCGCCGTTGCACTCTAGCCTGGGTAACAGGGCGAGACTCTGTTTCAAAAAAAAAGAGAAAGAAAAAAGTAAAAGAGTGCAAAGGAGGTGGGAGTGCATTTAGGGGCAGCAAGGGGACTAAGGGTACCTAGTGGGCAGTAGGTTGGGAATGTGGGCAGGGGCCAAATCTGAATGGTAAGTGGATTTTATTTTTGAGCCATTGGACATTTCTTTTTAAAAAAAATATGGAACAGGCTGGGTGCGATGGCTCACGCCTGTAATCCTAGCACTTTGGGAGGCCGAGGTGGGTGGATCACCTGAGGTCAGGAATTCAAGACCGGCCTGGCCATCATGGTGAAACCCCATCTTTAAAAAAATATAAATATGGAACACTTCACAAATTTGCATGTCATCCTCGCGCAGGGGCCATGCTAATCTTCTCTGTATCGTTCCTATTTTAGTACATGTGCTGCCGAAGCGAGCACGTGAGCCATTGGACACTTCTGAGCAAAAGAGGGAAAGGATCTGACAGGAATTCCCTGAAAGGATCCCTCTGGCTGCTTGGTGGAGATAAACCTTAGGGAGCATGAGGGGAAGTGAGGAGACTGCTTTGAAATTCAACCTCTGCTACTTGCTTCCATGTGTTTTATTCCTTTTTGAAAAAAACAAAAACAAAAACAAAAAACCAACCCACACAGATGTATTGAGATTTACAGTCATGCATCCCTTAACAATGGGGAGACTATCTGAGAAGTGCATCGTTAGGTGATTTCATCATTGTGTGATCGCCGTGGAGTGTATATGCACAAGCCTACGTATAGCCTACCGCACAGTTAGGCTGTGTGCTCTAGCCTGTTGCTCCCAGGCTACAAACCTGTAAAGCGTGGTACTGCACTGAATACTGTAGGCAACTGTAACAAAAAGTATTTGTGTGTCTAAACATTTCTAAACAGAAAAGGTACAGTAAAAATATGAATTTTTTTTTTTGAGACGCACTCTCACTCTGTCATCACGCTGGAGTACAGTGGCATGATCTTGGCTCACTGCAACCTCCACCTCCCAGGTTCAAATGACTCTTCTGCCTCAACCTCCCAAGTAGCTGGGACTACAGGCACCTATCACCGCGCCCGGCTAATTTTTTGTATGTTTAGTAGAGAAAGGATGTCACTATATTGGCCAGGCTGGTCTTGAACTCCTGACCTCGTGATCCACCCACCTCAGTCTCCCAAAGGGCTGGGATTACAGATGTGAGCCACCGCGCCCGGCCAAAATATGGTATGATAATCTTATGGGACCACTGTGTTATATGCAGTCTGTCATTGACCAGTTGTCCTTATGTGGTGTGTGACTGTCATTTACTTACCATACCGTTTGCCAATTTAGTGTACCATTCAACAGTTTTTCAGTATATTCACAGTTGTGTAACCATCACCATCATTAACTTAATTTAATTTTTAATTTTAATTTTAATTTTTTATGTTTTGAGGTAGAGTCTCACTCTGTCACCAAGGCTGGAGTGCAGTGACACAATCTCAGCTCACTGCAGCCTCCGCCTCCAGGGCTCAAGCAATTCTCTGACCTCAGCCTTCAGAGTATCTGGGATTACAGGTGCCACCATGCCCAACTAATTTTTGTATTTTTAGTAGAGGTGGGGTTTCACCACATTGACCAGGCTGGTCTCCCAACTCCTGACCTCAGGTGATCTGCCCCCGCTCAGCCTCCCAAAGTGCTGGGATTACAGGTGTGAGCCACCGCACTCAGCCACCATAATTAATTTTAAAACATTTTCTGGCCAGGCCCAGTGGCTCACACCTGTAATCCCAGCACTTTGGAAGTCCTGGGCCAGTGGATCATTAGGGATTAGGAGTTCCACACCAGCCTGAGCAACATGGCGAAACCCTGTCTCTACTAAACATACAAAAAATTAGTTGGGCATGCTGGCGCACACCTATAATCTCAGCTACTCGGGAGGCTGAGGCAGGAGAACAGTTTAAACCCTAAGTCAGGGGTTGCAGTGAGCCTAGAGCACACCACTAGGCTCCAGCATGGGCGAGAGTGAGACTCTGTCCCCAAAACAAACAAAAGAAAAGAAAACAAACAAACAAACAAAAAACATTTTTACTGCCTCAAGTATGCATTAGCAGTCACTCCCCACTTTCCTTCAACTCTGTGGCCCTAGGCAACCTCTAATCTGCTTTCTGTATCTTCTGTCTACTCCTGGCTCTTTTTGGGTCTTATCTGTATTGCAATTTGCTTATCCGTAACGTCACAGGGTAACTGTGTGGTTTTAAAAGGCAATATGAAAACATGAGAGCTTGTCTAGCAGGCCAAGCAAAGTGGCTGTGCCCTTTGCCGCTGCCCTGACTCCTGGTTTGCCATCCCAGAGCAGGATAGCACTGACGATGCGTCACCGAGGCAGTGTGGGCTGTGGTAAAGAGTGTGGGTGCCAGACCCAGACGGCTAGATTGGGAATTCTGAACTCACGATTTACTAGCTTTGCAATTCTGGCAGTTTCTAAACCTCCTTGGGGCTTCAGATTCCTCAACTGTCAAGAATGAGTCACAGCAAGTACAGTCATGCATCCCTTAATGGTGGGATAGTTTCTGATAAATGCATTGTTTAGGCGATTTTGTCATTGTGTGAACATCATGGAGTGTATTTGCACAAATCTAGATGGTATATACATTTTATTTATAAAAGCGTCCTTACTTTAGGCCTGGCACAGTGACTCAAAGCATGTAATTTCAGGACTTTAGATAGCCAGGTGCGAGGGTTGCTTGAGGCACTGAGGTCAAGACTAGCCTGGGCAACATAGCGAGACCTCTGTCTCTACAAAACATTAATAAATTAGCCAAGCGTGATGGTGCACCCTGTAGTCCCAAGTACTCAGGAGGCTAAGACAGGAGGATCTCTTGAGCCCAGGAGTTGGAAGCTGCAGTGAGTTGTTATCATCCCACTGTACTCCAGCGTGGGTGACAGAAGAGAGACCCTGTCTCAAAAAAAAAAAATCATCCTTACTTCATGGAGCTCAGTGGAGAATTCAGTGACCTATTTAATACCTACTATGTGCCATGCAGTGTTTTGAACACCACAAAAGCCCCTGCCCTCCTGAAGCTTGTGTGGAGCAAGTGGAGAGCGACAGAAATTAATAATCATCATAGTAATCATGAATAAGAAAGCGCATCTGTAAATCACCTAGCGCCTGGCACGTGGTGAGCTCTCCAGAAGTAGTAGCAGTTAGGGTTATTATGTGAAAACACTGTGTAAAGCTGGAGAGCTCAGCATAGAGGTAGGTCTCAAGGTGACTGTGCCATGAGCTTGTCACCATCACTGAAGCCTTACCTCATCTCTGCTCAACTGAATTTCATTCAGCCTCCAATCCTGGGTGAAATCTTTGTCTCACTGTGTACAGCTTTCTCCTTTCCTCCTTTCATCCAGCATTTACTGAATGGCACTTTGGGCCAAACACCCTGCTGGGCGCTGCAAAACCCAGGAGAAGCATGGTCAGGAGCCTGCAGGAGGGAGCCCAGGGCATTCTGGGAGCCTCGTGGCCACGCACACTAGAGCTAGACTGTCAAGGAACCTACTTGCTGAATTTTGCTTTTATTCTGCCAGGGGAGACTGAAGGCTGCTGAGCTGGGTGATAAAGTTGGCGGATAAACTAAGACTTCACAACATTCTTGTTTAAGTAATGCATGGTAAAAGTAAATATCTGCATTACGGTTAAATCCATAATCCATATTTAAGCACTGCAGTCAAACCAAAAAGCTACAAGACGGAGATGTAAAGGCATGTAGAGGAGCACAGACCTCAGGGCAAATGATGTCTCCAACTGAAGACAGTGTACTCCTAAATCAGCAAGAAATGTGGTCAAACGGAGCAGGGAGGTTTTGAAGCTAGATAAACCATGGTTGGCACTTACTACCCGTTTTGAGCTATTGCACCTCTACAGGAGGGTTAATACCTGCAGTGTTGCTGAAAGGATTAAAGAAATATCCGGCCGGGCTCGGTGGCTCACACCTATAATCCCAGCACTTTGGGAGGCCGACACGGATGGATCACGATGTCAAGAGATCAAGACCATCCTGGTCAACAAGGTGAAACACGATCTCTATTAAAAATACAAAAAAAAAAAAAAATTAGCTGGGCATGGTGGCGCACGCCTGTAGTACCAGCTACTCGGGAGGCTGAGGCAGGAGAATTGCTTGAACCCAGGAGGCGGAGGTTGCAGTGAGCTGAGATCGCGCCATTGCACTCCAGCCTGGGTAACAAGAGCAAAACTCTGTCTCAAAAAAATATATATATATATCCATCAAGTGTCTGGCACTTAATAGGCACACAATAAGAGGTATATATTATTAGATATTAATAATAATATTAAGATAAGTAGTACAGCATCATGGAAAGAGTTCTTGTGTCAGGCAGCCCTGTGTCCAAATTCTGATACATCCCAAGCAAGCTGCTTAACCTTTCTGAGCCTTGAGTTGTCTCCTCACCTGCAAAATAAATGAATAAGACCTCCCATGTAGGGTTGAGGTAGGGAATAAATAAGAATATGGACTTTGTAGGTTATATAGTAGATGTTCAGTTAAGTGCTATTTTAAAACTAAAATGGAGCTTTATTGAAATTTTTTGGTTATTTTTTTTTTTCTGAGACAGGGTCTTGTCCTGTTTCCCAGGCTGAAGGGCAGTGGCACCATCACAGCTCATTGCAATGTCCACCTCCCTAGCTCAGGAGATCCTCCCACCTCAGCCTCCCAAGTAGTTGGGAGTACAGGTGTGCACAGCCATGCCTGGCTAATCTTTTGTGTTTTGTGTAGAAACACAGTTCTGCAGGCAAGGTGAGTGGCTCACACCTGTAACCCTAGCACTGCAGGGTTCCAAGACAGGTGGGTCACAGGTCAGCGCTTTGAGACCAGCCTGGCCAACATGGCAAAACCCATCTCTACTAAAAATTCAAACATTAGCTGGGCATGGTGGCGCATGCATGTAATCCTAGCTATTTGGGAGGCCAAGACAGGAGAATTGCTTAAACCCAGCAAGTGGAGGTTGCAGTGAGCCAAGATAACCCCACTGCACTCCAGTCTGGGTGACAGAGCAAGGCTTTGTCTGTGGGGGCGGGGGAAGAAACATGGTTTTGCCATGTTGCTTAGGCTGGTACTGAATATTTTGATTATAAAAGTTATATATTCTAATGGTAAAAAAAATTCAAACAATGCAAAAACGTTTTAAGAAAGTAATTACATTGCTTGTAACTGAGGATAATGAAACAAATTAAAAAAAAAAAAAAGAAAGTAATTACAATTCACTGGAAATTCCATTACCCAGAGCCAATGATAATATTTTGGGTACCTCTTTGTGCTAATATTTTGGTTTGACCATCGTAATATACCTAAGTTTATTCTATGCACCTGTCCCGTTTTCACTCAATGATATGTTGTGGACATATATCCAATTAATAAATTTAAATTTATGTTATTGTTTTGTATCAGTACCTAGCATTATATGATATTATATTGTGCCAGGATTTATTTAGCACTGTTGATGGTCATTGAGGTTATTTTCAGATATTTACCATTTTATACAATGCTATATTAAACAACCTCGGAGAAAGATCATTGTTCACTTGTTTAATTTCTTCCTAGAATAAATCACTGTACCCAAGTTACCAAATCGAAAGGTTTTCCTGTTATAATTTTATTTAAAATTTTAAATTATTATTTTTTATAAAGGGACAGAGTCTCACTGTGCTTTCCAGGATGGTGTTGAACTCCTGGGCTCAAGCAGACTTCTCACTTCAGCCTCCCAAAGTGCTGCGATTATAGGCATGAGCCACCACTCCTGGCTGCTGAAACTGAATTCTGCCAATCTTTTTAACCTTTGCCAGTCTGATCTATTGAAAAATATCTGTCTTGATTTTTTATCTGCAGTTCCACTCCTAATGAGGCTGAAAATATTTTCAAGTATTTATTTCTATTTGTAGTTCTTCTTTTGTTAGTAGCATGTTGAGGCCCCCCCTTTTTTTTTTTTTTTTTAAACAGACTCTCACTCTGTCGCCCAGGCTGGAGTGCAGTGGCGATCTCATCTCATTGCAACCTCCGCCTCCCGGGTTCAAGTAATTCTTCTGCCTCAGCCTCCCAAGTAGTTGGGACTACAGGCGTGTGCCACCATGCTGGGCTAATTTTTGTATTTTTAATAGAGACGGGTTTCACCATGTTGGCCAGGCTAGTCTCCAACCCCTGACCTCAATTGTCTGCCTTCCTCAGCGTCCTAAAGTGCTGGGATTACAGGCATTAGCGACCATGCCCCGCCCCCAAGGATTTTTTCCATACTGTGTTTAGGAAAATGTCATTATTATTTTTATATATAAATTAAAAAAATTTTTTTTTTTGAGATGGAGTTTCACTGTTGTTACCCAGACTAGAGTGCAATGGCACGATCTTGGTTCACTGCAACCTCCACCTTCTGGGTTGAAGCAATTCTCCTGCCTCAGCCTCCTGAGTAGCTGGGACTACAGGTGCGCACCACCATGCCCAGCTAATTTTTTTTTGTATTTTTAGTAGAGATGGGGTTTCACCTCGTTGACCAGGATGGTCTCGATCTCTTGACCTCTTGATCCACCCGCCTTGGCCTCCCAAAGTGCTGGGATTATAGGCGTGAGCCACTGCGCCCGGCCGTAAAAAAATTTTTTTAAAGAGATGGGGTTTCACCATATTGGCCAGGCTGGTCTCAAACTCCTGACCTTGTGATCTGTCCATCTCGGCCTCCCAAAGTGCTGGGATTACAGGCATGAGCCACCGTGCCTGGCAATTTCCTAATTATTAATAGTTAAAAGTATTAATAGTTCCAGGATTATAAAAATATATAAAAAGTATAAAAAAAATTTTTTTATACTTTTGTTTTTTCTTTTATAACAGGTAAATCTTTGATCTAGGTGGAATTTATTTAGGTTTAATGAGGGAGGTGGAGTTCTTAGTTTTTCTCTAAATGGCTAGACTATGGCTAGTCCCATCCTGTTTATTGACTTCCACTTTTTCTCCACCAGTTGGAAAAAATGTCACCTTTATCATATACTACAATTCTCTGTACACCTGGCTCTGTTTCTATACTGTTTGATTTAATAGGACCGTGTGTTCCTTTGTCGAAATTGCTGTGTTCATTGCTGTAGCTATCTAATGCATTTTAATATCTGGTAGAACAAGTCCCAGCTCATTAATCTTTAAAGTTTTCCTGGCAGTAGAGTAAAGTGATTAAATTCATGGAGCTTGAGGTTAGCCAGCCTGAGCTTTAATCTTAGGTTAGCCACTAACTAGCTGTGTTACCTTGAACAAGTCATTGTTTTTCTCTCTGGACTTCTGCTTCCTCATCTGTGCAATGTTAACGATAATGGTATCTACCTCACAGTGTGTTTATGAAGATATGATGAGGTGATGCATAGCAAGTCCTAAGGACGGTGCCTGGCACACACTGAGTGGTCAGGAAATGTGAGGAGTTTTGGTTATGAAAATGATGCACTTGTTTTTCCAGTTGAATTTTAGGCTCGTTTTGACAATAAAATCCCACTGGGATCTTCACTGGGATGACACTGACTTGGTTGGATAATATTGGGATAGTTAATATCCACATCATAGGACCTTCCAGTCTAAGGAAAGCTCTGATCTCCATTGGTCCAAGATGTTATGCTTTTCAGTAGAGTTTTATAGTTTTCTTTTTTTTTCTTCTCTCCCCTCTTCCTATAGTTTTCCTTATATAAGATTTGTACATTTTGTTAGTTTATTTCCAGATGGCGTAACTTTTTATGGAGTCTCACTCCATCACCCAAGCAGGAGTGCAGTGGCACGATCTCGGTTCACTGCAACCGCCACCTCCAGGGTTCAAGCGATTCTCCTGCCTCGGCCTCCTGAGTAGCTGGAATTAGAGGCATGAGCTACCACACCCAGCTAATTTTTGTATTTTTAGTAGAGACGAGGCTTTCTCCATGTTGGTCAGGCTGGTCTTGAACTCCTGACCTCAACTGATCCTCCTGCCTCGGCCTCCCAAAGTGCTGGGATTACAGGAGTGAGCCACTGTGCCCAGCTCAGATGGTGTAATATTTTCATTGCTCTTGTGAATGGAATCCTCTTTCTCTCACCATTTTTTTCTCCCAACCCACTTCCTGTTTTTTTCTCCCAACCCATTTTCTGTTTTTGAGACACGTCTTGTTCCATTGCCCAGATTGGAGTGCAATCGCATGATCAAAGCTAACTGCAACACTGAACTCCTAGGCTCAAACGGTCCTCCTGCCCCAGACTCCGAAGTAGCTGCAATTACAGGTGTGTACCACCATGCCCAGCTAATTTATTAGACGAGGTCTTGTTACATTGCGCAGGCTGGTCGTGAACTCCTGGGCAAGTGATTCCCCTACCTCTGCCTCCCAAAATACTGAGATTGCAGGTGTAAGCCACTGTGCCCAGCCATCCCACCATTTTCTTTTCTTCTTTTTTTTTTTGGGCTAGCGCTTCACTCTTGTTGCCCAGGCTGGAGTGCAGTAGTGCCATCTTGGCTCACTGCAATCTCCGCCCCCCAGCTTCAGTGATTCTCCTGCCTCAGCCTCCTGAGTAGCTGACATTACAGGCATGAGCCATCACACCTGGCTAATTGTGTAGTTTTAGTAGAGACAGGGTTTCTTAATGTTGATCAGGCTGGTCTTGAACTTCCAACCCCAGGTGATCTGCCCACCTTGGTCTCCCAAAGTGCTGGGATTACATGCATGAGCCACTGTGCCTGGCCTTCTTTTATTTTTGTCTTGAGAGACATGGTCTCACTATGTTGCCCACACTGGTCTTGAGAGGTCTCAAGCAACCCTGTCACCTCAGCCTCCCAAAGTGCTAGGATTACAGGTGTCAGCCACTGTGCCCAGCCCTCATCCCACCATTTTCTAATGGGATTATTAGTAGTACATTGAAAGTTATTCATTTCTGAATGTTTCTTTTGCACCCAAAGTGGCCATAATAGTTGAGTTTAGAAATCATGTCTCCCTTACCTGGTGTCAGCTTTGAGATATCCCAGGCTTCTATCTGCTAGGGCACCTAGTATGGGGGCTTGCCATAATTTGTAATCCATCTGTGTAAACACAGGAACTGCGTCTATTTAGGCTGTAAGTCCCCAGGGGTCAGCACAGGGCTGGCATCCCAGCAAGAGGCTATCAGCGCCAAATGAAAAAGGTGTCCCATATTGTATTACTGGTGTTTTCTGGGATAGAGGAATATTTCCTCCAGGATGGAGAGCAGAGCAGTGAAGAAGCAAGGAGTCCCTGATGCCATCTGGCTGACTGTCTAATTTGGAGCCGACACTGAAGTCATCATTAATGTCAAGAGTGAATTATATTTTCCCTCATCATATGTTGAAGAATGCATTGGGTGGTATGGGAGGATGGAGGGCTTATGAATGTAGGAAATCAGGGAAAACTTTGCCAAAGAAATGACATTCAAGGAGGCATCAGGGGTGACTGCAACCCTATCTTGCTTTCGCTGCCCCAACTGCAGACTAGTCTTAGCACCCAGTCCTGCTTGAATGAATTCATTCGGCAAACTTTGACGAACACTTGTGTCAGGGACTCTGCTGTTGTGTCTGGGGCCACAGAGCTGGGCAAGAGCCAATATATGTTGCCAGATCATAGCTCTGTTGAGCTGGTTGTGACAGGAGGTGGTCAAGATTTTTTCAGTTGAATGGGGAGGTGGAGGTTGCAGTGAGTCAAGATCGAGCCACTGCACTCCAGCCTGGGTGACAGAGGAAGACTTTGTCTCAAAATAAATACATAAAAAGTAATGTGGCTATGGCTCACAATTGTAATGCCAGGACTTTGGGAGGCCAAGGCGGGAGGATCACTTGAGGTTAGGATTTCGAAACCCTCCTGGGCAACATAGCGAGACCCCATCTCTACAAAAAAAAAAAAAAAAATTAGCTGGGGGTGGTGGCATGTGTCTGTGGCCCTACCTGCTCCTAGCTACTCGGAAGGCTGAGGTGGGAGGATGGCTTGAGCCCAGGAGGTCAAGACTACAGTGAGCCATGATCATGCCACTGCACTCCAGCCTGGGTGACGACAGAGTGAGATCTTGTCTCAAAAAAGAAAAAACAAAGACAATCAAAAGTTGCCCATAATCTTACAATCCAGAGGTAACCATTATTGACATTTTGTGTCGGGCACAGTGGCTCATGCCTGTAATCCCACCACATTCAGAGTCTAAGGTGGGAGGATTACTTGAGCCCAAGGGTTCAAAAACAGTCTGGGCAATGCAGTGAGACCTCATCTCCACAATAAATAAACAAAATTAGCTAAGCATGGTGGTATGCACCTATAGTCCCAGTTACTTCGGAGGCTGAGATGGGAGGAGTACTTGAGCCCAGGAAGTCAAGGTTACAGTGAGCTGAGATTGCACCATTGCACTCCAGTCTAAGCAACAGAGAGAAAACCTGTCTCAAATAAATGAAAAAGACATTTTGGTAACTTAAAAACGTTTTCCTACCTACTGTGAGACTGAACAGCAGGATTTAAATGATGGTGAATGGAAGGTGAGCAGTGAGTTAGGGCTACCCATCATATGGGTGGATTTTGTGACTTAATGAAAATGGTGAGGTCGTGAAGTCTTCTATACATGGTCTTGCTCTGTTACCCAGGCTGGAGTGCAGTGGTGCAACTGCTCACTGCAGCCTCAAACTCTTGGGCTCAAATGATCTTCCTGCCTTAGCCTCCTGAGTAGCTGGGACTGTAGGCACATGCTACCACACCCAGCTGAGGTCATGAAGTCTCTATCCACGAATATCTTTTATAACTTGCATAGATATATGTGGGTGAAATCCTGTCTTAGTCTTTCCCGATTCTGCCTGAGCAGGCTCCAAACATTGTTTAGGGCTCATTCAATGGGAAGTCAGTGTTCAGAGGGTTTCTCCAATAATTATTGAGATCGGGTAATTTATTCAACAGATTGTAATTTATTCACAATAAATGAGGGCCTACCATGTGCCAGACATTGGGGATATGATGATGAACCCAAAGATGCTAGCATGAACACAATCACTAAATCAAAGTCACACAAAGAAATTAAATGTGGGACGGACAAGGAGAGCTACACATGTACTGATCGTCTGCTGTGCTGGAAGTTCTACTTAGCAAATGGAATCTCATTTAATCATCTGGACCTCTCTGCACCTCAGCGTCAGTAGGAAATGGGGACAGTATTATTGAGAGAGAATATTTGTTACAGGGGTAAACCCTGTTTCAAAGCTTGGTTCACTCAAAATATAAACAATGAGGAACTTTTTACACTTCAGTGTTTTTTGTTTGTTTGTTTGAATGATTGAGAGCTTTTTATGTTGCCCAGACTGGCCTTGAACAGGTAGTCTCGCCTCCTTAAGTGCCAAGACAACAGGCCTGAGCCACCGCAGCACCCGTACTTCTTACACTTTAGACACTAAAACCTCTGAGAGGCAAAGAGGGCCGGTATTTATTTAGTGAGTATCTACTATGTGATAGGCACTTTTTACAAAGATTTAATTTAATCCCAGCCCCATTCTTTGAATTTGCTACGTACCCTGCTGTCCAAATAACGGCATTGAGTCAGTGAGAGGTTTGGTAACTTGCCCAAGGCCACAGAGCTGGAGAGACTGCAGAAATTCAAACCCAGGCCTGCTGATGTGCAGAGCCAGTGATAATATATTATCTCGCAGTGCAGTTCATGGGATAGATGTGTCCCTTTGGGAATCCCTGGGTCTCTGCTGGTGGCCTGTTAACTTAGTTCTTAAATATGCTCTTTGCTCATAACTGCAGTTTGAAAACAGTGACTCATCCCCAAACTAGGCAGGGTTGAGTATCTGTCCTGTTCATCTTCCACATGCCACCTGCACCAGCTTCTGAAGATAACCTGTAATAAAAGCACTGTGGTTAAAAAACAGAAAAACACACACCAAAAATGTATAGGTCTGTTGGTGCTTCTGTCAAGAAAATAAACTCATGTATCCCATTAACTAAAAGAAATCACATCTAGTTAAAGTTTAATAACGAAAGCCAACTTTCTATCTGTACCGTTTTCTGAACATACTCTCTCTTCACACTTAACTATGATGTTGTCATTTGTTTCTGTTTGATTCTGCAAGGGCAGAGATCTTGAAATATTCACATCTGGATTCCCCCATGGTTTCACCCAGCTGAAGTCAGGCAGTGTTTGCTCAGAGAAATAAAGGTGTTTCCATACGCCTGTATTAGCTTTACTGTGCTGTTGTAAGGAGTTAACACAGGTTTAGTGTCATAAAACAGTATTCATTTCTGTCTCCCACTTCTTGTGAGCCAGATGTCTGGATTCCATGGCTCAGCTGGTTCTCTGCTTCCAGTGTGACAAGGCTGAAATCAAGGTGTCTATATTCCTTTCTGGAGACTTGGGGTGGGGGTATGTCTGTTCCCAAGTTCATTCAGGTTGTCAGAATTCAGCTCCCTGAGGTTGTAGGACTGAAGACCCCATTTTCTTGCTGGCTGTTGGCAGGACTTCCTCCCAGCTTTTAAAAGCTGCCTGCATTCCCTGGCTTGTGGCCACTTTCAAAACCAGCAACAGTGGGTTGAGTTCCTCCCATACTTTGAATTTAATTCTTCTGTCTCTCTCTCTTTCTCCAAAACATCTCTTTTGCCTCCCTCTTCTGCTCCTAAAGGTTCATGTGATTACATTGGGCCCACCCAGACAATCCAGAATAATCTTATTTTAAGGCCTTTAAGCATTTAAGTATTTGCAAAATTGCTTTTGCCAGATAATGCTGGCTAGGTGCGATGGCTCACACCTGTAATCCCAGCACATTGGGAGGCCGAGATGGACGGATCACCTGACGTCAGGAATTGAAGACCAGCCTGGCCAACATGGTGAAACCGGGTCTCTACCAAAGATACAAAAATGGGTTGGGCAGAGGGTAATGAATGCCTGTAATCCCAGCTACTTGGGAGGCTGAGGCAGGAGAATCGCATGAACCTGGGAGATGGAGGTTGCAGTGAGCTAAGATCGTGCCACTGCAGTCCAGCCTGGGCGACAGAGCAAGACTCCATCTCAATAACAATAATAAAGAAAAAAGAATGCAACATATTCACAGGTTTCGGGGACTAAGGCTTGAACAGTTTTGGGCAAGTGGGGAGGACATTATTCTGTCTACCACAGTGCCTATACTAAACATGCAAATTTTAGTTACTCCCTGTAGGTCAGAGGGGAGTAAAGCTACTTCAGAAGACATCTAAAAGATGTGAAATGACTTGCCAAAGAGTACTGTACCAGCTGTAAATTGAAAAAAAAAAGTTAGTAATCCTTTGTATGAAATCAAGTCAAACCATTTTTTGGGGGATGGTAGCTCCTCCTTTCTCTCGGGTTAAAGCTGCGGAGATTTTAAGAGGTGTCTTATTCCAGAGAGCTGGGTGCTCTTTGCAGTCTTTTCCCTTTGCAGGATTTTGCTTACCAGACTCATAAATTTTCTGTGACCAGTATTAGACACAGAACATTGAACCCCTTGGTGTTAGAGTTTGGGCTATAACATAATGGTCTCCTATCAATACTGGTTGTGTCCTACGCGATAACATTAGGGAGTAGAGGGTGTGTTTCCTCACCCAGAGAAACGTTTTAAATGTGGCCACTGATCGTGCCTTCACAGTTTTTAAGAGCTGGCCTCAATCCAATTCAGGACGGACTCTAGAAATGTTTCTGGACGACTCAACCCATATATAGGTACAGAAAACCTATGTGCTGGGTGCTCCGAAATTCAGCTCAAGGCGGAGAGAGGCTAAGCACATTGCCCATTGTCCCTCAGCTGGTAATAACAGCTACCATTTATTAAATATTTGCTCAGCTGCGCGTGTAAATCCCAGCACTTTGGGAGGCTGAAGCGTGTGGATCACGAGATCAGGAGATTGAGACCATCCTGGCTAACGTGGTGAAACCCAGTCTCTACTAAAATGCAAAAACTTATCCGGGGCGTGGTGGCGCGCGCCTCTAGTCCCAGCTACTCGGGAGGCTGAGGCAGAGGGAATCACTTGAACCCGGGAGGCGGAGGTTGCAGTGAGCCTAGATCGTGCCACTGCACTCCAGCCTGGCCACAGATCGAGACTCCGTCTAAAAAAAAAAAAAAAAAAAAGCTCTATGCTAGGTGCCAAATCATATGGACCTAATACTGTCAAGATCTCCCTTCACATCCTCTTCCAATATGTCAAATATTTTACGTTAATTTTAATTCCAATAATACCGTGAAATGCTAGACAAATGCAGATCAGAAAACTGAGGCTCAGAGAGGTTGAACTGACAGCCAGGGAGTGACTCAGCCAAGATTCCAGTCTAGGTCCGCTGGATTCCAGGGCCTGAGTTCTCTCCAGGATACTGCCTTTAAAAACGCACTCGGGTGCATTCTGGTCGGTATGGCCCCAGAGTCCAAATTCTTTACAAGAGCCGTCAGTCAACATATCATCAAGTTCCTCAAGTGGTAAGAACGCTCCAGGCTGCGGGTGCAGACTCTGCAAATACACAGCGGCCTGAAAGCACAGGAGGAAATGAGGAACCGTCTAAGTCCATCAGCCGTGGAATACCCGTTTTACTGGTATGAGGGTCTTTTTGTCTCATTATTATGCGTCAGTGAGTCACTTAGAGAGGACTAAAAGGGAAGTCCTGCCTCTCGTCACCTACGAGAAGGGTAGGTTAGAACCGTCTAGGAGAGAAGCACGAAGTGAGAGCTGCGAGTCGAGCTCCCCATCCTGGCTCCCCACCCGCACCTGCCCGGAGGTCCCGAAGCAAAAAGCAGCGAAGGGGTTAAGAGCGAACCGGGTGGGGGAGCCCAGCCACCGCCCCTTCCCAGCATCGCCTCCCAGAATCCCCCAGGCCCCCAGCCAGTTCCCGCACCTCGCGAGACTCCACCCAACCACCCCCCGCCCCTCTTCCCCGAACAGCGACCCGTCCCCGTTCTTAGCTGAGGTCGGAGCTAGGCGGAGGACGGGAGGGAAAAAAAAGCGGAAAGGGCCGCGGGGCAAGCCGGGAAGTGTGGTCTACGCGCTGCACGCGGACATACTCTTCCGGAGCGGGGAAGGCCAGAGAGGCCGCCGGGACTACGACTCCCAGCCGCCCTTTCGGTTTGTTTTTGTTCAAAAAAAAAAACCCACACTCCCCCTCCTCACTCTTCACACACACTCAAACACACCCACGGCAGACACGCACGCACCCGGTCGCCGAAGGGAAAGCTGCGTCTCGCCCTCCCGCCCCGCCGCAGGTCGTGTCTCCGTCCGTCAGCAGAGCGGGAAAGCGGAGGCCGGAGCCGTGACCTCTGACCCCGTGGTAATGCGGAGCGGCCGCATTCCTTAGCGATCGCGGGGCCGCCGCTGCCGCCGTGGGCGACTGACGCAGCGCGGGCGCGTGGAGCCGCCGCCACCCCTCCCCCACCGCGCTCTCGCGCCAGCCGGTCCCCGCGTGCCCGCCCCTTCTCCCCGGCCGCACCCGAGCCCTCGCGCCCCGCCACCGTCGCCGCCGCCGCCGCCGCCGCCGCCCCAGCCCCGCGCCGCCGCCCTAGCCCGCCCAGCCCGGAGATCCCGCGTGGAGCTGTCGCCGCTGCCGCCGCCGCCGCCGGGGAAGAGGATGAAGGACAAACAGAAAAGGAAGAAGGAGCGCACGTGGGCCGAGGCCGCGCGCCTGGTGAGGCGGGCAGCCGAGGGGGGCTTCGTAGGGGCCGAAGGGGGGAGCTCGCAGCGCACCCCCAACAGGAGGGGGAGGGGCGAGGCCCTGCCCACAACGGGAGGGGGCGGGGCCATCTTCCTTTAAGAATGAGACCGCCCCGCTAGGCGCGGGGTGGGGAGCGCTCCCCCGCCGTGATGGGATGTGGCGCCTTTTTCCGCTCGCGCCCCCACCTCCCCCGCGCCCCAGCAAAATTCCTGCGGAGGGGCGAGTTGGCAGGCCAGCTCCTTCCCCTTTGGGGCACCGGGGTCCCGCCTCCCCTCCCCCACTATTTGGCAGCGTCTGGGGGTCTGGAGCAGCTTCGTTCATTCACCCAGGGGAGTTGGGTTTCCGGGAAGGGTCGGAAGCTCCTCCCTCGCTTCCTGGTGGGTAATGGGGTGGTGCGTTTGACTTGGGGTGGAAAAGCGACCCCACATTCAAGGACGCCAGTGGCATTTTGAGATTTCCCAATCTAAACCAGGTGCGGGGAGTGAAGCAAGTGCTCATTCCCGGCTTGACCCCTGAGCAGCGGTTCTCCAACTTTAGTGTCCTGTGGGGGACACCTGGGAGGCAGTTAGGAACGCTCCTCGTAGGGCCCTGGGCAAGACCTGCTGAGCCTCAGGGTCTGGGATGGAGGCTGGGAATCTGCGCTTTCACTAGCTTCCCAGGTGATTGGAACGCAGTGGCCCACGGACCCCACTTTGAGAAACGCTTACTCTAGGTGCTTGCCTTCAGAAGCTGGACTGAAAATGGGTGCTTTGTGGAGAACTGAATCACTTTGCCGAGACTGTATGTTGGGAAAAGACAAAGTGTCTCTGTGGGGAGACTGTTCACGGAGGATTGGATTTAGCAAGGGAGAGCGTAATTTGAGTGTTTGAAGCCGCCTGGTTCAACTGGAGGACTTGCAGGTGAAATAACTTCCTTTTGGATTGCACCCACAATACTAAGACACTTGGAGATGCATTCCTGAAACGTAACAGGTTTTACTTCTCCTAGAGATGTCACTTCCTCAGATCTGTCACACAGTGGTTACGGTGCCGGTAGCCTAAGTGTTTCTTGACACCCTGTAGTTTGTATGTAATTGTTGCAATCCAGTTCTAATGATGAATGAAACTCGTGACTTTATTTTCTCTCATTTTGAGGTGAGTTTTCTGCCTCAAAGATGTGCCCCCCCCCCAAAAAAAAAGGTTGTGGGGATTGATATAAATCTAAAGTACACCTTTTTCTTTCTCGAAATCTGTAAAAGTTACTGATTTATAAAACTGCAGGTATTTGGGCTACAGGAGAATTTTCATTGGTGTTTGCGATTGTCTCCCCTAGTCATTCGTTGCCCAGGGAAGAAAAATAGCAATTGTTTGTATGCTGAAGTTTTGTGCTTCAGTTTATTTTGGCCTGGCATGTGAAGTTTGAAGATTTTGAGGTTTCAAAATATTTTTTTTTCTGATTCAGTCAACACTGGAAGGTTGGGCTAGTTTTCGGGATCTTGTAGAAATTTCAGGATTTCTCTAAGGTTTCTTTTTTCTTTTTTTTTTTGAGACAGGGTCTCACTCTGTTGCCCAGGTGTTGTGCAGTGGTGTCATCTTGGCTCACTGCAGTCTCTGCCTCCCGAGTTCAAGTGATTCTCCTGCCTCAGCCTCCTGAGTAGCTGGGAGTACAGGCACACACCACCATGCCCAGCCAATTTTTGTATTTTTAGTAGAGACGAGGTTTCACCATATTGGCCAAGATGGTCTCCATCTCTTGACCTCGTGATTCACTCTCCTAGATCTCCCAAAGTGCTGGGATTACAGGTGTGAGCCACTGTGCCAGGCCACTCTGATATTTCTTTACCTGAATATAGGCCTGATGGGGATTGGGAGAGAGCTCTCAATTTCCCGGACGAAGAGTTTTGTGTGTTTATTGACATTCTCCTTGGTGTTCCTGTTATTCGGGTGTTTATGACCCTGGGCACCCAAGGAAATTTGCTTGCCACAGTTCTACTTGTTAGGGTCAGGTGAAAGTACTTTTAAATCCTGTGTTATTTATGCCCTGACAGAATTATAAAGTCTGTCTGTCTCAAAGTTCTGTTGGTTCTTACTAGTTGACTTTAGGAATTTGGGGTCCACTGTTAAGCCTCTTTAGATTCTCGAATTGACTGTGGTGTGAACTTCAACATCGAGGTTGCTTTTTCTGTTTTATCATTGACTGAGCTTCAAACCAGATTATGAATAAGTTATTTCTCTTTTTCTTCTAAGGCATTTCATTAAAAATAGTGATATGAGTAGGAATTACTTTGTGGTGCTCTTATACCTGTGGAAAAGGATTTGTGAGACTTTGGGAGGCTGAGACAGAATAATCACTTGAGGCTAGGAGTTCGAGACCAGCCTGGGCAACATGGTGAGAACCAGTTTCTTCAACAACAACAAAATGAGCTGGGCCTGGTGGTGTGCACCTGTGGTCCTAGCTGCTTGGGAGGTTGAGGATAGCTTAGGCTGAGGAGTTGGAGGCTGCAGTGCCTGCTGATTGTGCCAGTGCACTCCAGCCTGGATGATAGAGGGAGACCCTGACTCTAAAAAAAAAAAAAAAAAAAAAAGGCTGAGTTCGATGGCTCATGCCTGTAATCCCAGCACTTTGGGAGGCTGAGGTGGGTGGATCATGAGGTGAAGAGTTCTAGACCAGAGAACTGTGAGAGCAAGACTCTGTCTTAAAAAAAAAAAAAAGGACTCCTGAGAATCTTTTTTGTGTTTTTTTGTTTTAGAATTTTCCATTTCTTTGGATGGATTGGTTGGTAGGTGAGGGGGAACTTTTTAAGACTCCTAAGCTGGGCGTGGTGGCTCACGCCTGTAATCCCAGCACTTTGGGAGGCCAAGGCAAACAAATCACCTGAGGTCAGGAGTTCGAGACCAGTCTGGCCAACATGGTGAAATCCCTGTCTCTACTAAAAACACAAAAATTAGCTGGGCATGGTGGCATAAGCCTGTAATCCCAGCTACTCAGGAGGCAGAGGAGGTTGCAGTGAGATGAGATCACGCCACCGCACTCCAGCCTGGGTGGCAGTGAGACAGACTCCGTCTCAAAACAAAAAAACACACGTCTTCTTCATGTTTAAAAAAAGTTGCTGTAACACTGTGTGCTGGAGAATTTGTGAGAGCTTACACTGGACTGAGAGAAACTTGACTAGGAGGACATAGGACAGTTGATGAGCACACCTGAACACTTCTCTTCCGGCAGGTGGATTTGGAGTGCTTGCAGTGGCAATTGTATGCACTTCCTTGGAAACACTTTCAGATTGCTCCTGAACCAGCTTAGATTGATGACTACAGTGTGACTGGGAATCCTTTTAAAAATTGTTTTTGTAGAGGAAAGAAGATTATTCTTAAGAATTTCAGTATAGTATACCCCAGGAAATTGATTTTGCAGATGTTAATTATGCTATTGAAAAAGATATTGTTTCTTTCACACATTTTATAGTATTGTCTTTTCTAGATGTTAGAAGTAGACCTTACGCGGTTGGGTGGATATAAAGCCTCCAACTTGTTATGAACAGTTTGTGTGGGAGAAATGGCCAACGGGATTTCCCTTTAAATTGAGGGCCCTAAATGGATTCTCCCTGGCTTTGAGAAACTCTTTGTTGCATGCTTTATCTTTTACTTTGATTCATGACTGACCAATCTTACATCAAACATTTTTTTCCCCTTTGAAGTAAGAGATTCTTTTTAAAAAATGTAAGCTAGAAAGACAAAGACTAGGAATAGAACACTGCTGACTTGTTCTTACACCAAAAGCTGGAGGCGTAAACAGTTTTAATAAAAGTGAATTCTTTGTATCTTTTGATGTAACTTCAGAGATTTTGTTTCCTCTGTCTTAAATTCTCAGGCTCTTTCTGATTGCTGTTTAAATAATTGGTAGTTACTATTTCAGAGTCATGCTTCTTAAAAAATTCTGCCAAAATTCACTAGCTCAGCTTCCATTTAATTAGTATCAAAGAAATGGTATCTGTGGTACTGAACATTAGTAGTTTGTTCCAGGGTTTATTGTAGGTTTGTTCAAGTGAGTCTGCCTATCTTGGCGCTTAGGTTCTTGGAATACAAAGGTAGATAAGGTTTGCCCCTCAGGGCTTATGGTCTGGGGTTGGTGAAGGTCCAGACATAGGAACAGAATTTTACTCCAGGCATGATAAGTGTTATCACAGTTGTATGAATCATAAACAGATATCTCAGTTCCTGCCTCTTGTCCAGCCATAATTATGAATAGTTTCTCCTTTCACTCTCAACTGTCCTCGTTTGGGAGATAATTATGTGTGTTATAAAACAATGGGGATATTGAAAGGAGACATTTACCTCTGGCAGAGATCAGGGAAGACTTCTTGGAGGAAGGTGCTTTCTGAGCTGAGTCTTGATGGGTCAGTAGGGGTTCCCATCACAGAGGGCGTAAGCAGGAGCTGGTGACAACAAAAAGGAGAGAAAGAGTGAGAGTGGGGGAGACAGAGTATGTATTTGCAAAGTGTGGGAATTAGGTATACCTATGAGTTATAGGAACATAAAATTTGTGGAGTGTCAGTGTGGATGGGTAGAGAGACGGGCAGAGACCAGACCGTGAGGGCTCCATATGCCAGGCCAGTGAGCACCTACTCTGTGCCCGGCACTGTAGGCATTAC